ACACACACACACACACACACACACACACACACACACACACACACACACCTCAGGTATCAATAAGAGTGTGGAGCAGAGCTGAACAGATGATTTGATAGGCAGAAGTGGCTACTCCATCAGGTGGAGAGCGGCTAATAAGAACAGAGCCAAGCATGAAGTGTGGAGATTCATTTCCACACGTGAAGTACATTATTATTTTTTTTTTACGTTATCAGATCCGAGTGTACGCATGTGAATTTATTTCACGTGGGTAAAATGTGTCAGAAATAGACTTAAAGGCTCATGGCGGGGCAAGAAAAACGACAAAGTGCGAGGGAAATTACTGATCTCTAATAATCCCACAATATCCATTCAACACGCACACAGTACACACACACACACATGCAAAAATAGTGACTTAATGACAAAAAACGGTGAAGATGAATATCTACATGAATTAATCGTCATCCAAAACATGCAACAGCAACAGCATGTGTGTGGATTCAAAGCGCCGTACTCACCTATTTAACCCTTAACATTAACAAACATTAAAGCTAATGGATTTTGTAGGCTGGAGAAATTGTAAGAATCACGGCTGTTACGTCAACTAATAGACAAAGACGTGGCTTGAGTCTTTAATCCGCGTCAGTGAAATCCCATTAAGATTCAATAGTTGAAAAAAGGAAATATTGCAAATCAGCTTCAGTCCGTTACAAAAAGAAGTCAAAAAGAGAGAGTCCCGAATTGAGGACAGTTTTAATTATTGTTAATTATTTTTTTTCTCGCTTGGAATTCAAATCCAGGATTTAAAGGGTAATTCCACAGGAAAACAGCTAAATCCAGAGAGCCTTTAGCGTGTTGACGGATGCTCAAAAGTCCCACTTCCCTTTATCTTCATGTAATGAAGAGGAGAGGCGTTAAATCTCCTTCAGGAAAGAAAAAAGAAAAGGTGGAAATATAAAAAAAAGAAGAGAGGATGGACAAGGAAATGAGTTGTGTGGTTTGCTTCACTTTGCTATGCATCTGTCTGCTGCTGTTCCTCTCTGTAGCTCACACACACACACACACACACACACACACACACACACACACACGCACACGCAGCAAATTATTCCGTTACTTTGCAATCAGCTCAATTATTTCGAGCCATCTCGTCGTCTTGTTTTCCTTAAATGCCAAAAAAAGATTATTCATGAATAATCTGCCATTCCAAATCATGGAAGTAGTCGAGGTGAGGTATTGCAAAATCGCGTCACCAAAAGGCAAAATAAACAGCAACTCCTCTCTGATGTGAGCAAGTCAATGACGTGTGAGCGGTGGGAGATGACATTTTCCTTAGACGGCACACGAAAAAGACGAAAAAAATGGGACAACGAATAAACCAATAGGTGGATCAATTCAGAGGGGGTAAGAGGGTGGACGTGATGGAGAGAGGAAAAGAGATGCAGAGGAAAGAAACAAACAAGGTGATTAAAGAGATTAAAGCTTGATGCAAAGTGATGAAAATTATGGAGGGAAAAAAAGGGGAAAAAAATCCTCTGGATGATAAAGCCAGTTTTTGTTTTTAGTCCATTCTCTTTGAGAGCTTGTGTGTGTCTGTCCACGAGAATAAGTCAGTTCAGAAAGACAGGGAGGGAGGGAGAGAGAGAGAGAGAGAGGAAAGGAGGACAGAGGAAAAGGGAGGCAGAGGAGTGTATGAACACAGATGACACCCCGACAGAACGGACCATAGCGGCTCACAATGGCGCTTTGAAACGAGCGGCGCCTTGCCGCTCGTGAATTAGGCCTTTGCTCGGTTCAACCTTCACCCGACAGACGACGGGTATAACGAGGAAACTTGAACGCACCTCAGTTCGATCACAACGCACGTTCCCTCCTACAGGACCAAATGTGGAATTTGAACGTCACTCAATGTGCATGACGGCAAACATTAAAAAAAAAAAAGGACATGTGAGGAGGACGGTGTGTGACAGAGGGGGGGGGGGGGGCATTTCAGACGCTTTAATGGAAGAACAGACTTTTGTGCAACATAGAGATGAGGCGACTGGAGACTGGTGCTTGCTTGATGAGTCGCTGGGGTCTTGGTTTGAGGAGAACAAAAACAAATGTGAAAACCAAGTCAGAAAACACTGACGTTACAACATGAAAGGGGGAGAGTGACGTGAGGATGACATGGCATGAGGCAAGAGTCAGCTGAGAGCCGGATGGGAGGGGAGCCGTGGTTACACCAGAGCTAGATTGTAGGCCAGTGTGCGTGTGTGTGTGTGTGTGTCAAGGTGTGCTTAATATATGTGCACCCCACACAAAACATCTCACATACACAGACAAGGAACAAAGACTTTGAGACAGACACTGAACACTAAGTAGACCTACCTATGGTTAGAATTAAGAATCGCCCAAAAAAGATGCATAGGGTGGTGGGAGGAAAAAAGAGAAGGAGGAAATAGGAAATAGGAAAAGGTACAAAAGTGAAAAAGGCATAAATAGAAAATACAAGCAAGCCAATTAAAATGTCTCTATAAAGAGGAGGGGGGGGTAAAGCAAGGGAATTAAAACACTGGTGGAGTCAAAAAAGTAGCCAAAGTTACTGGTGGACAGTGAGCGGAGTGGTGGGGAGGAGGAGGAGGAGGAGGAGGAGGAGGGAGGCGGTGAAGGGAGGAGGGAGCGTGGGCTGCACAGCGATAGAAAGGGCTGGCAGCGATAGCAATGGAGAGGGACGGAGGAATGAATGAAGGGAGCAAAAAAAAGAGAATATAGGGGGCAAAAAAACGGAAAAAGATCCCCCTCCTCTTTCTCTTTCTCTCTGCCTCTCTCTCTCTCTCTCCCTCCTTGTCTGGCTCATAAATGGCAGAAATTGTTGACCAGGTAAATGGCGAAATAGATGAGGAGACAGAGGACCGAGAGAGCAACCAAATGAAAAGGTAAAGCACCTCCCAGCAGCGCGATGAGGAAAAAAAAAAAAAAAAAACGAAAGAGAAAAGCAAATACTCCAGTGGCCTCCGTTGTCTCCAGTCTATGTGTGGAAGGGGGGATTGGCTAGTGCCAGTTGTTCCCCTTCCCCGGCTGCCTTCTGCTTTCTTCTGTCTCTCCTCCCAAAAAAGACTTCCCATCCAGATGACCAAAAAAAAAAAAAAAGAAAGCAGACACAGATGTCCTTTTTCCTCTCTCTCAACTCTGGTCTGATATCACGTGCCACTCACACAGGTTAGACATTGTTGCGGCCGCAACGCACAGTATCACCAATATTGCTCAGTTGGGAGGAAAAAAAAAAAAGGCATTTGGTGGCGGTTGCTAGTCGAGCGCTGCCTGCCTCATGAGGAAGCATACTGAGCTGAAATTGCTATGTCTCCCCTCTCTCCCGCCCATCCCTGCGAAAAAGATGGGAGGAAGGGAGGTGGGCCCACTCGCTGCATTAGTATTCATTGAAAGAGTGTGAGAGAGAGAGTGTGAGAGAGAGAGAGAGAGAGAGAGAGAGAGAGAGAGAGAGAGAGAGAGATGAGGAGGAGGAGGGGGAGAGGGGTGCCTCTTCCAACAAATGTCGAGGAACCAAAACCGGTGTGCTAAACTGATAAGAGACTGGCTCCCCCTAGAGTCAATCATCGATACACAAGCTCAGATAACTGGAATACACTGTAGCGTTGGACCAACCAGTCTGATGACCTGCGGCCTGCACTCAACGAAACGCCTCACAATCCCACCTCCCGGGGCAAAATGTCACTGCTGCAGTGTCACTCCAACTGCACGACGCGAGTGCAATCCACCCACAGACCAGGTCAACGTTTCTCTCGGTGTTTCTCACCTTTGTGAGACAAAGCACCGATAACCTCTTTACGCTGTGCACACTCTCCCAAACAAAAACCGGACAAAAGCCTGAAGAGGAATTTTGGTTTGGAGCCCGTGGAGTTGTGAACAGCAGACCCGGTCCCCCTTTTCTTCTGCATTTCGCCCTCAGCTAAACTCAGTGTTGCTATGGTGACAGATGACTGCTCTCAAGTGTCCAAATCAAAAGCTAGCAGCACACAGAGAGAGAGAGGTGGTCAACAGCACCCATTCAGACGGTAAAGCCTGCAGAGTATCTCCACATTATGTCTCTGTCGAAATATGTTTACCTCGTTTCTGCCGCCAGGAAAGTCATTTACTGAAATACTAAAACCATTACATGCCCACAAAGACGACACACTACATTGTGTACACTCGGCCTAATGGACGGCTTGTACTCAACAAGAGAGCGAGGTAAACCGCACTCTTTTGTTTTGTCCTCATTAGGGAATAAGTTGTTTCCGATTGATTCCCTGATTGTTATTTACAGTAAAGAGGACGAGGGAGACGCTGACAGATCGGGAAAGAAGATATAATTACAAGGTCTCCACAGTCTCCCTCCGTCTCCTCCGCTGACCCGTCTATCAGACAGTGATTACTTAACTCACAATAAAAACTCAAGCCCAATTGAGCTTACAGTGACAAGGTGGCGTGTGAAGACCGCAACATTTCAGGCGAGCTCTGTTCGGCATTTTAATCGTGCATCAGCACATTCAGAAATGACCTTACAGTAAACTTGAAGGTGGAGTCCGTGTGTCCTCGGATGGGACAAGAGGACAAAGCGGTGCAGCTTGAAGCGGTCTCTCCTCTTGGCCGAGCTTGGATGGACCCCCGCCAAAAACAGTTAGGCCTGTGGTTCCTTGAAGCATTCAACAGACTCTGCTTGACCTTTCCCCAAGTTTCAGACATCTCTGAACCTGGATTTGAAAACACAATCACTGGATAAAGAATGATTATTGGACAACGGTGGCAATAAATATCATGGTTGACATTATTTTTCTTTCCTGTGTTTAACCAGGGATCTTACATGTTCTTTTCCTAATCAGCCGACATGCTTCTGCACATGGGAGCTCTCAGTATACAGTCACTGCAATCTGCTTCAGTGGAGCAGCTATTTCAGCACTTTAAACACTTTTACAGCAGTTGGAGAGAAACGTCAGTTGTTTGGTTCTCAAAGTGTTTTCATTAGATGTTAACATGCTCTTACCCTGGGCTCCTACAGCGGGATTACGACCAGGGACCGTTAAACACAAGAGCTGGTGGAGAAGTTGTCAAGGAAGGTGGAGTTAGTTTGGTGAACACTGGATGACAAATACACTCAAAATATCCAGTTACGCTGCACATCTACACATTTATTTACATGCGTGTGTGTACACTTTAAATTCAATGCAGGTTACCTTAAAACTGTTCCAGGTAGGAAATGTTCGTCGAGAAGAAGAGTGTCGTAAATGTCTTAGTGGGACATATCGCCACCTTGTGGTCGCTTTACGGTACTCTGCTCGACTGTGCGGTGTTGGATTGAGCATGCCTGGCTGCACGAGCCGCACCATCACAACACGGTTCAGAGATGGCAGCGCTGTCATCACCGCTACGAGCCTGCCGAGGAATACTAAAAGAACTACGTGCACTCCAAGGACCGACTTATAAACGCTCACTGGCTTACAACTATGTAATGGAACAGTTCCGTAAGAATAAGGTGAGTTTCCCAACAACTTCGTTTCAGCTAACGTTAGCCGCGTTAGCTAACTACCATAACAAACTGCATGGGAGGTGCGTGGCTAGCGTTAGCTAACCGGTTAACTCCTAACGGATAACGTTACCGTTTTGCTAGTTAAGTGGAAATAACGTTCGCCCTTCAGCCGTTCACAAGCGTGGAAATAACGTGAACACCCAACACGACACCAGAGTGTGTCATTGCTTACTTTGTAATCTGTAGCAGCAAAAGTTCAGCGCAAGGTGACTGTGAAGTAGAAGGACATGCTAACATTAGCAGCTAACGAGCCTTAGCATAGCTCAGAGTTAACACCACACGCAGGTGATAGAATAATATGTTTGGTTATTAAGTCACTAACTATATACGTTCATACGCACACCAGAGTGCAGCCTGCGTCATTGGATTGATTCATTAATTATGTGTAAATGATCGTCATTATTGTCACAATGCCCCGAAGTATGTCAAATAATTAAGGCAGGTTCACTAGATTTTAGGTTATCAAGGAATTTGTACTCATCCGCGGGATTAAATAGACACTTGCAGCAACGTTTCAAAATATTTTATCTGAAGCCTAATAGTTTGTAGAATTGTTTAAAATTAATTTTGCATGACCACGTTCAACCTCTCATTTATCTGTCAAGAGAAGCCCTACATTTAACTCCATGTTTATTTAAATTACTACAACAACCACTCTTTGTAAACACAGTATAGCTGCTTAAGCATATAGGCTCAAAGCTTGCATTATGTATGCTTGGGAGAGCGTGGCTCATCAGGCCGGTCCAATGCATGAGCGGTCACTGAAGCACAATAGCTTGGAGCAACTCTTGCTTGTCAGGGTGCGTTTGTCCCGGAAAGACCCCCAGCCACTGTAATGCATATGTGCCACTTTATAGGGACTGTGCCAATGCTTACTGTCCATGCGTTTGTCACTGGAGTCATTGCTAACTCCTTGTTGTCCACCAGCTAGACCTTAAGGCTTTCGCTTCATAAATGCTAACTTGATTTAATCTTTTTTCTCTGGTGACTGATTTAGTGAACGAAGCAAAACAAATATGCACGTTGTCCGGCGTTACGATCCGCTTCATCGTTTAATCTTCGCTTATATTTTCTTTTCCCCTCTCACAGGTAACGGGAGAAAGATACTGCCGAGCCCAGCACGAGGCAAGCCACAACTCGCACACATACCTGTGTTTGCTGGCGTCCACCAGGACCCACATGGCCCTGCACAACCTGTACCACGGCAAAGGAGACATCAGCATAGAGCAATCGGCTGGCCTGGTGGGGCTCAGGTTGCCCACTCAGCCCGGAGGCAAAGGCTGGGAGAAGTGAGGACATCGGGAGGACGCCACGTCGGAAGGAAAACTTGACCTCTCTGTGGCTGAATCATCTGGTCTCATACGATTCCCCTCATGAAAAAGTGAACTGTGAAGTGGTTAAATGTTTGACTGGAGTCTGGCAGACGGAGAGATCGCATCACGGACAGCTTCGAGGGAACTCGCCTGTTTATTCCTGTTGTGTTGTTCCACCAATGTTCAATATGAGGATGATCTGATCTGAGAGTGTTTGAAGCAACTGTGAAAATGTATACTATGATTAAAATAAATCAGTTGTTTGGCTGTAAATATACTACCGCTTGTCCACACTTGCTTTTGTTTGTGTTTTGGCATTTTTCCTAACTGTAAAAAGGCAAAAGGAACCATTCAAATGGACTGAAAGTACATTTTTATTGTTATTCATTTAGATATCAGTCACAGTTTGCTTCACACATGATCACACGTTATAACACATTAACAAATAACCTGCTCGTGTATCAATTAAACTGGAAGTTAAATCCATATATTGATGCATTTATTTGCTAATCAGATAAACGAAACTCAGTGAGAATATTTAACATACGTTTTCTGTTTGAATGTAAAATAGCGACGAGCTCGGTGAATTCATATCTTTGTTTTCACAGCTATTTGCCCATTTGTTTGTGGGAATATTAACAATTTGTCCACTGAGGCATAAACCACCTGCCACCTTCTGGCAGTTTTCCACTCTCATGCTTTTGTATCTCATGCGCGTTGGGATGGACTACAAACATGAACATATAAGTCTAAGGTAGAATTATAAAATAGCCCTGCAATAAACATCAGTTAGATGAAGCTCACATTGGATTACTTTTGCTGAGCCTTTCCGCAGGTATTCATGATACTGTAGTTAAGTCAAGCATCTCATTCAGAGTATTTCAGTCTTTGATGGAGATGTTTAAAATCATCACAGTGCTACAGCCGGCTCTCTGTTACCTTCCCCCTCTTGTCCACAGCTCCCTCATATAGAACCTCAGCTTTCCTGACCCTGTGTTATCCACCTCACTTCTTTTTTTTCCCATTAAATCTGCCCTTCCCCGTTTCCTCGTTCTCTCCAGTGGTGACTAACATCGCCTTCAGTGTGCATTTAAATAGACTAACCCTGAAGCAAAGCAACGCACAGTGACACAGGGAGTAAGACCCAAGCGCTGCTCCCAAACTCTCACACACACACACACACACAACCCTGGAAACGAAGTCCAATGCATCCTGACAAACTAACAGCTTGAGTCAAAATTTGTATTGCGCAAAAAAAGCAGGATGTAAATGTGCTTCTCGACTCCCTGCTGTTTTATGCATCGTGGAGCAGACAGCCATGACAAACAGAATGAGAGGGGAACCATAATAAAAGCTGAGTGGCACTGGAGCTTAGGCTAATTTTGGGGAGGTGGGTGTGTGTAGGAGGTGACTGTGATGCAGCATCTCTCAGCAGGAGAAGACAATGTATGTCAGCGGCAACCTGAACGGATCTGAGGGCGGCGTGATGCCCCGAATTTAACCGAATTTAAACGTTACCGAGTGAAAGGTGGTGATGTAAGTGAGCGTCCAGCTGGTCGTCAGAGAGAGGGGAAACTAAAAGCGGAGGAGGGCGGAGACACTCACGCCCGTCACAGTGGAGGCTGGTTTGTTCGCGGCAAAGGGGCGAGGAGAGGAGTCAGCATCACCAACTTCTGCCTCCGAGAGAGAAAACGGCATCTGTTGAGAGGTCTGCGGAGGAACAAGGCGCGCGCTCTTCTCCGGAGGAGAATTTGCGCTTCGGAGCATCTGGATACTGTTACTATCTCTTATCTATCAAGGTTTTTTTTTATTTTCTTTAATTAGGGAGTTGGACGATCACACAAGGGGGCGAAAGTTGCCGTGCAGAAGAAAAAAGAAAAAAAAGCACGAGGACGAAAAAAGGGAGGACGCACAACGGAGCACAGGAGCGGAGAGAGGAGAGGTGACCCGGCCGAGGCGACATGTTTGGCATGCTCAAGAACTCGCTCTTTGGAAACACCGAGGAGACCGAATATAAATTGCTCAGCAGCGAGACGAAGGTAAGCAGCGCGCGGACACCTGTCAGAGCACACAAAAAAACTTCGTCACTCCGACATCTCTGAAGATTAGCTGCAAATTCTGCGCTCTCCGCGAGCTGAGTAGTGCTGCTGCACCTAACAGGCGCACTTCTGTTTGCATACCTATTCCATCCATATCTCTTAACGCTATCAGTCATAGCAAATTGCGTTTGCAACAGTCGGGGACTTTCGCCGTGTTTTTTCGTGATCACAACCCTCCGTAACCTTGACTGACAGGCTGGCAGTGAACTGCTTGTGACCTATAAAGATGCCCGCTGAGCCGCAGTGTGGGGCGAAGCAGCCAGAGGTCCTCCGCCAATCAGCGGCCCGCAGCGATGAATACAGATGGTGATGCTTTCTGAGTTTTATGTAACCTTAAGAAAATAACACACGCACACACACACGCGCGCACACTAAAGTCAGAAAAGGTTTTACCGCGCTGTGAGTCACAGTTGTTTTTTCCTTCCCCATCATGACATTATCTTATGTGTGTGAGACACAGAGGTCCTGCGCGCGCGCGTGTGCGTGCGTGTGAAACCACAGGGGCCCACGCTAACTGACCCCTGGAAGAGCGTGCAGATCAGAAGTGATTGTGGTGACACCGTGGGCTCAGATAAGGACCGGCCGTGTTACACTTGATACGCGGACCCTCGACGACTGACGTCATCGAGGAGCAAGGGCGTGCCCTTTCCCGTGTCAGCCCCCCCATGTTACGTTCATGCAGCCTATACAGTATATATTGTGTTTGCCTATAATTGACACATGCACACTTGCATTCCAGTAAACAACCAGTGATGCGTGCTGTTCACTGAGGCGACGCCTCACAGCCATTTCGAGGTTCTTCTCTCGTGCCCCGTTGACCTGCAGCGCACTACTGTAAATGTGCATGTAGCCATGCAATGTCACAGCTGGCACTGGGGTTGGAAATTGGCTTTGTGTGTTTTATCCCTGAATAGCAGCTCACTTTTGACTTGGGGGGGGGGGGGGACACGAAGGCACACAGACTGAGACAAAGAGGACTTCTAGACAGGCAGGGAATCAAATGACCCAAACTGACACACACACACACGCACACACACTGGAAGTCTGATCCGTTCTGACACTGACCACTATCAGTTATTGTCTCAATCTGATATTTTTGATTTCAAGTATAAACACTCATTTAAAAAGAGGACAAAGATGATTATAAATAATGATCACTGATCCACATGCAGCATGATGTCAAAGGTCACCGCGGTGCCCACGCCTGTTCTCTAAGTGTTCATTAAACAGCCTTGAGCTCGAGGCTCATCAAATCTCTGGACCTGACTGACTATTGAAATCAGAGCTCCACACCTGATCCGTGCAGCAGCCGCCTGACTCCGACACCCTACACTCTTAATTAAAACTGACACAGAATACAGAGGAGTTGGCGTGGCGCACACACACACGCGCACACACACACACACACGTACCTATGCACACACATGCATGACAGGATGACGGCGACATGGAGGCGGAGTTCAGTTAGAAGCTTGCAAACGACTGTAGATTATTTTAGCAGAACATGAAACGGCAATTTAACAGTCACATTGATGATTAGTGTGCACTCTCCTCCGGCAAGGAGTAATTACCGGTGTAGAGGACGGCAGGAGGCAGCAGCTAAACACACACAACCTCACACATACAGTACCGACATATTAATTGCACTGCTTAACTGAAGTCAGGCTCTTCTGTCTCGGTATGTCACCCGTACACAATGTTAATGGTGGTCCCGTTGACAAGCCACACGGAGCAGAGCCCTTGTAATAGCTATGCAGGAGCCGGGGTACCTGACACAAGTTAGAGCTCCGTGATAACATACTGCCATCTGGTATGTGCTGGGGGACGAATATACTGACGTGTCGTGTGATTACAGGACCTCGGGAGTGAGTTACCAGCGGGGTGGTATAAAAAAAATAAATAACACACGTGTAGAAATTGGAAAACATTTAAATCATTTGCATGATATTTTGAGAAGCCCACGTAAGAATGAGCACCGGAGCGTGTTTCCATTTTCTTTTTTTTTTAAACCACATCTGCAAATTTATGAACTATATATTTGACAGAAGCAGCTCATAGATTGATGGTAAACACTGTCAGGAGAACGCACCACAGTGACATCAAAGTCCAACACTCGAAGACATGGTACAAACAAACACGGAGCAATACACACGGTAATCACATTAGTGGGGACGAGGAGCTGTATTTGAAACCTGCATCGCAGTCTCTGCTTTGGCCAGATTCCTTCAAAACCTATTAAAGTCACTGCTCAGCTGAGCAGCACAGCTGAGTGACCGCGCTCGCCCCACTCAAATCATATTTAATGCAAAACTGTTGCATCTGTTGGAGCTGTGTGTCTGGAGGCGGGGGATGTGTTTGTGTGTGTGTGTGTGTGTGTGTGTGTGTGTTATGTAAGACATCTCTCGGCCATTATTCTCTGCAGGCTGACTGAACCATGCAGAGCAGAAGAAGAAACTAAATCAAATCAGTGTAAATACGTTTCATCTGCATCTTATTATTTGGCTGCCGACATTGGTTCCACACATCCACGCATGGGTGCAGTCACACAAACACACACACACACACACACACACACACGCACAGTTATTACCCAGCCAGTTCAAGGCTTTTGTCCTTTGGAGCAGATTGTCAACTTCAGTGTGTCAGAGGTGAATCACATCTGAGCTCAACCTCTCCCATACGTCCAACCCCCAGGAAGAGAATAACCCGTGTGTGTGTGTGTGTGTGTGTGTGTGTGCGTGTGTGTGTGTGTGTGTGTGTGTGTGTGTGTCTGTGTGCATGAAAGAAACGTCTGCATTTGTGCACGCCACGACGTGTAGCTGTGGTTGGCCTGGCTGATGCCTCAACTGTTCCCTCCCCCTGATTTTTTCCCCTTCTCTTCCCCAGGATGGAGTGAGCTTTGAGGTGCGGCGGTACGATGGGGCCAAGTACGCCGTCGTCTCATCTGAGGGCCGATCCTTTGACCAAGTGACGGGGGAGCTGGTGAGGAAGCTGCTCATGTACATCGGTGGGAGCAACGAGCAAGGTAGGATACGTTCACCGAAAGTGAAGGACTCGTGAACTGCCTCTGATATCGGTGCTGTTCCTCTCTCAAGCTAATAAGTGTCATGGATTTTTTTTATAATCACATACATAAGAAAAGTATGAAGCAAGAGTACTAATATATGGAAAGAGGAAAGGCACTTAGGGTCATTTAAATGGTGGCCAGTCTTGACGGAGGCCTGAAGCTGAATTAATCAGCATCAAAGATGGGACCAACATATGTCTCCATCCTCTCTTTGAATAAACAAACTACTGCTCCACTTTAAGCTGTCCCACTAGAGATGGCTGAGCTTTATTGGAGGATGAATCTGAATAACGCTCAGACACTTATATCCTCTGAGGTCACGTTTCCCCACTTTAGGTCAGCAGACAAACAGAAACTCAGCCAACTAAAAGAGCAGTCTGAGATCTATAGGCCTTAGTGCAGAATCCTCATTTAATCTGTTTGCTGTTCACAGAGGTGCGCGTTACAGTCTTACATTCCTGTCGTTGCTATTTGCATGATGATATTACATTACGCTACACAAAAATCACACAGATCCTGACCTTTAGATTTGGCTGGATCGCTTTAGGGAGTTCCTCTCCTCTCCGTGCCCCCCCCTTCTTTACAAACTCACTTCCTGTCTCACACTGCCGTCTGCTCAGGTGAGGCCATGGGCACGGCAGCACCCATCATCGTCACAGTGTACCCACGGAATGACGGTGTCCTGTCTCGCCGCTTGGTGGTCGCCATCCGCATCCCCTCCAGCTACCAGCTGAGCCCCCCGACTCCCACCGACAGTGCCGTCAAGATCGAGGAGCGGCCCGGCATGACCGTCTACACTCTGTAGGTGTCATTTAAAGTGTCTCGTTATGCAAGGAGCACGATTTTAAGATACCTCACCGCTCTTAACCATCCACCAAATCGTCTTTCTTTTTGTTCGCAGGCAGTTCGGCGGCTTCGCTGGGGAGACCGAGTACCGAGCAGAGGCCTTGCGTTTGACGCGCACGCTGGGTGAGACGGCGCCCTTCCAGCGCAAGCAGTACTTCTGCTGCAGCTACGACCCACCGCTCAAGCCTTACGGACGCCGCAACGAGGTGTGGTTTCTCCAGGAGGAGCCGTAGGGGCCGGTCCGTCAGATCCGAAGTCAAATCTCACGCCGAGTCCTGTATTCGACCTTAATTACCCCGTCACTTACGACAGTCCTGTAGCTCCAACAGTGCTCGATTGATTGGTAAGAGAAATGTGGCGACTTGATAGACCTTTAAACCCAAAATGGACAGACACTACCCATGTTGCCTTTACCCATCAGATCTTCTCGCTTGTACAGTAGCTACACTGTTGTTAGGTGTTCAGGCCATGGGGAGGATTTAGAATCAATGAGTCATCGTCACGTCTTCTTTAATTTAGTTTCTAATTTAACCTCAGCCCTCGCAGCTCTGAAACGAGGCGTAATGAGAGCGATTAAAGGCTTCTAGGCAAATGTAGTGTTGAGAAGTGAAGGTATTTCGTGGTGTTTTCATCTGAACGAGTTGCATCACTGCTGACAGATATCTCGAGGAAACGACCTTTAGATGGACTGGTATGCCACTGGCATGAGAAAGTTATCTCAGTAACTCGGTGAATAATCTGCTGTAGTCTGAATTCAAATACAACTTTTTCCATTCCTTTTAGAATTAGATGTTTGTCCTCACGGTTTGATAAAGTCCTTGTAGAGCTCCCAAAAGAACAAACAGTAGGGTTTTGTACTTAATCTAGTTTACTATTTTGTGACGGCTACAGAGAAATGTAAATAATTAATCATGGTAGTAAAAAGCACACTTCCTTTTCCTGAGTGAAAAAAAAAAAACAGGAGTCGAGCCATTAAGTAGAAGTCGTCTTAATTAACGAGAGGACAGCTGGGTGGACGCTAGCCGCTGCGTGTCGTTTTATGATTGTGTTAATCCATGCAGCATTCGTGTGTAGTGAATATTGTGTTTCAGCGCATGACGATGCCATCTTTATTTATTACGACTCTAGAAACAGTGTTATGGGATTTTTCTGTGATGAGTAAATATAATGTTCAGGTTTGATAGTGTTTCACAACGTAATAAATATATTCAGTAAGAGTGCAGACAATTCTAGTCTTATTTTTGTTTTGTTTTATGAAACGCCGTCAGGGGCAGTAGTCCAAAATATACAACAGTTGTACTAATTCAAGAGTTCATTTGCTGTCTGCAACAAGCAAGTACGAAGAAATGACTTCTACACACACACACACACACACACACACACACACACACACACACAAGCAGCTAATCTAACAGAGCAACGTAATGAATGATAATTTAACTTTGTGGCAAAGGGCCGTATTTACATGGATTAAATGTTAAAACACAAGCATACCTGGACGTATGCAGCAAGAGTTCATCAAATGTCAATATTTAAGATCAATAAAAATGTAAGATCAGACAAATGACAAACATCAAAATTCAATAAATGACTAATTTATTAGATTTTAATTGACAGACAAAAGTCAGCAAAAGGAATAAGAACTGCAAAAAAAAAAAAAGATATTAATATACAGACATTTGATTAATTCAAGAAAACTTAAACAAAAAAAAGATTCTCTATCCACTTCAACTGTGTGCAAATAGTCCTTCAAACAGTTAACTCTTCAGCCCACTTTAAAATCAGGAATAAATGGTTTTGCATTCAGAAGTTTCAACAGCAGGCAAAACACTGACGGGCCCTTAGTAGAGCGCTGTGGCCCTGTAACCCCACACTGGTGTAATTAAACAGAGAGCAGAGTTCTGCTTTCAGCTCGGCGTTGCATACATGAATACAATAGAAGCTACTGTAGCAGTAGAGCGCGGGGTCATTCAGGTAAACCCCCCCCCAGCTTGTCACCTTTAACCTTATTATGAGAGGTTGAATTATTGCACAGACATCCTGCAGACGTGTTGTGACAGAACGCCATCTAATCCCCCGTTTTAAAACAACGCACTGTTCCTTTTCATAACAAAAACCTCGACTACATAACATCATATTATGATGGAGACAGGGAATGGAATCACTTGGTATGTAATGTAACTGATGCAGTGCAAGATCACACAGGGCTTATGTTAGGGAAACCTGTATGAGAATACTGTATCACTAAAACACACTTCAACCCAGGTCTGGTTTTATATATGGACAACTACTCAACGCCAAACTGTATCAGAAACACACACGGCACCTTCAATGATACTGCAAAAATATTTAACCTTTTATAATAAGAGTAGCTATTGTTAAGAACTACAGGAACCACAATCAAGAAATTGCCGGGTAATGTTTTGGTAATAAAAATCGGTCTGAAAATGATTCTGCCTCCTCCTCCTGTCAGCTCTCCACAAGGACAGTTGAGGTGCCCTTACCTACGTGCTAGAGAATTAGACAGAAATAAATCACCGAGAATGTTAATGATGATGAGTCTAGCTAGAGTTACAAGTCAATCCTGTTAAATGAACTTAAGTGTAAGCGAAAACGGTATTTAAAAGATGTAGTTGCTTTGTATGCTATTCCCGTATCCAAAATATCATTAATTCATTGGTGAATTATCACTGACATCTTTGAACCCTCCATTACTTGGATTTCCTTTGCTGTACTCTACGGTGGAGTAGGTCCTGTATCCTCCGACGTTACCCCTTGCTTTAGAATTTATTGAAGATACGGAGGAAGAGAGAGAGGAGTGTCGTTGAAGTGATGGTGCCCGAGCTTCAGTTGCTTTTCTTCTCGGGAGAGTTTGGATACGGTGCATATGGTGGAGGTCGCTCCTGCGTGGGAATAAAAAAATAAATAAAATGAAACAAACATGGTACAAGAGTGGAAGCCATGTCACTTCCACACAACTTTAACTGGGGGGGAGACAAGTGAAGCAGCTTACCATGGGCATGTAGACATTGTGTGGGTTGCTGGGATTGTAATACGCACTGCCAGCTGCTTCCGCCGCCTTGGAGTTACCTGTGCATAGAAATGAGACGTGACAAAGACAGACGAGCATGTTTAGGAACAGACGCTACAGCTCCAAACACTGCGAGGGGGAGATGACGCGAGCAGCACAGTATTAGCAATACGAAGCACAACAACATGACGGCTCCAGGAATCATTGAGACTGAATCTACAGGCACACCCCCCCGAGGACGCACCGAGGCGATCGTCCTACTCAAGCTCTTCTCAAAATAGCAACATGCCAAATTGACATTCGCACACAGTGCGAGACCGTTTTCACTGAAATCCATAAGGTGTTGTACAGGGAGGTAGAGGGGAGATTGTTTATCCTTCGGAATTTTGATGTGTAGCGGATGAGACATCAGCACCCCTTTTTGGGTGGCGTGCAACAAAGTGATTCACTTTGAGGCAGACGGATTAGATCTGACGGGTGCAGTGACACAGACATACAGAGAGGAAAAATAAAGAAAGGAGGGAGAGAGAGAGAGAGAGAGAAAAAAAACAGACCTGGAGGTGGTGGTGGTGCTGTTGCTGCCCAGTTCTGAGGAGGTGCAGCCCAATTTTGGGGTGGTCCTGGGTAGGGGGGAGGCGGGGCCATGTAGTCAAATCCAGCTGGGTACATTCCTGGAACACAGAAGACAACAGGAAAAAAAAAAAAAAAAAAAAAAAAAAAAAAAGTGATGGAATTTCAAGATCAAGGAGGTTACAGTCTGTGTGAGCAATTAGTTACACAGCAAACACAAAAAAAACATGAGAAACAAGGGGGGGACTAAACGCAAGGTTTTTTTACTTATGTGCATTGCAGACATTTGATAAAAAATGTGTATTAAAAATAAATAAAGTGTGTGTGCGTGTGGTGCAGGCTAAAGTTATATTACAGTAGTGGATGCTGTACCTGCAGCAGCTGTAGAAAGGGGGTAGCCCATGTTTGCAGCAGCAGGGTCAGGGCCCTGGTAGAATCCATTCTGCTGGGGAGGGGACGGGTAAGGATATGCAGGAGGTGGCTGAGGTGGGCCGTAGCCGTTCATCGGTCCAGGTGAAGGATAGCCGAATGAGGCAGCACCGTTTTGTGCAGGAGCGGCACGAGAAGCTGAAATCCAGCAAGAGAAAACAGAGTAAACAGGACTTTCTAAGCATTATGGCTGTTCACTTTAAAAAAACGTAACTTTGACAGTTGTATTTTTACAATGTGGTATTGCTACTTTGGTGCAGGATTGAAATAATATTAAGGAGCATAAAATGAATATCTAGCATCATAAAACGAGGGACACATGGATCACAGAATCTAGCATACAAACCATTTGTGGCCAGTTTGAAGAGATGCTGTCCCACCTCTATGGCTCCTCCACTGGGGAAGGACATCTTGAAGTGGGCCTGGCCCTCCCAGCCACCTGATGAGAGAGTCGACTACAGTTAGAACAAATACAGAATCTACACTTGTGTTTTTATAGTGCAGTCCCTTCGTGTTGACAACAAATCAAATCATACTGGTTAAAAATAAAAAACAAAAAGGCCGCCTACCATCAGGCTCAGCTGACACTGTCCCTTTAATGTAGTTTGCAGCAAAGACTGGCTGCTCAATGCTGCAGCCCTTCATCCGGTAGTAGGGGAACATGGCTGAACCCAAGCAATCCTTGGTATTACTGGACACAAACATCAACTACGCCCAGTGGATGAGGGAAGAGAGAAGAGAAGGATTGGGGAGAGTTACGACAGGACGTATAGGAACGTGAACACTGCCAACCTTCCAATCAATCAAGAAGACAGCAGAAGCATTATGTTTAATATAGTTGATGTAATTGTACCCTGTATGGTGTGAGGTAAATGGTGCCCTTCTTGGTCCCTCTGAGCAGGTCTGTCTTGCCGCTGACATCGCTGAATGACAGCTCCACGTTCTTACATTCCCTTAAAACACTGGGAAAATAAGCAGCAGGTGAAAACAAAGTAACCTGTTGCAGCAAACATCTACCGATGGAATCATATTTTAGTATTAATGTGCATGCGAGAATTGTTCGGAACTACTGTATTTAACAATGTGCAGGTAACCTACTTCACGCGACATAAAATAACAGTTATGTCAACATTCACTTGAAAGCTACCGCTACTTCCTGTTTTGGTTGGCTAACGTTACAGGTTAGCCATCTTGCTTAACAGCTAGCTAGCTAAACCAATACGCGGAGGCCATGGAGTCGGCTAATAGCAGCATCATAAAACCTCAGTTTAAAACAGCAAACACGATATTTGAGTTGCCCCAAAACGACATACGCGGCGAAGGCAAACGTCAACAATGGAACAAATGTGTTAGCTAGCTATGCTAACCAGGCCAGCTAGCGGGAGGCTAGCTGATGGATAGCATAATGTTGACTACGCACTGGAAAGTAGAAGGTAAACAAGCCGCAAAGAGAGGCGACAGCTGGCTACTCGATACAACAAACACCGTGGACGTAATATAATACACGTACCTTTCCCCGTTGTTTATCAGAACGCCACCGTTTTGCGAATGATTCCGGTTCAAAGCCATGTTTGGGAGACGTCTCGTCCTCGCCTGCTTTCCGTGCTGAAGTCTGCTCGTCAGCCCGACGGGGATGCCTCAAAAACGTCACGCACGTCACGTCATGGCCACGACGTGGTTTAACAACTCGTGATTTACCGACAGAACGACGGTCAACATCATTAAGCACACGGACTCCTGTGTCCTAATGGAACTTGATCATTTTGTTCATTGTTCCACTTCTGATCGAGTTTGTAAATAGTTTGGTCCAATTTAATTTAAGTAAGGCATCAGTGTTATAAAAACAAAACCATGATATTTGAGAATATGTGTCTTAAATAAAGGCGGAATCATCATGTCATTGAATCCCATAAGTAATCAGGAATAACATGCTTTATTAAGTAGATGAAAGCCTGTAGACGCGGATTGATATGCAGTTAATTGGTTTCAATATCATGCAGCTGTGAATGAAGGTTTAACATGGTGTATGTAATAGTTATTCGATGAGTACAAGCATTGCCATAGGGAGAGAGGTTGACAAGACCTTTGAGTTACGCAATAATCTTATTTAATAGCTCCCCTGAGGACACGTGCATGCGCTCATCGTATTATTTAAACATTGACCTTTCTATCAATTCCCAGCTCAGTCTGACCTACTTCTCAACGCAGCTTTAACCCGGCAGCCATTCAGGGCGTACAACTGTGACATCATTTCAACCTTCTTCTCTTTTATTTATTTATTTTTATTACATGAATGGCAACACGTACATACCTACACGTGTTGACGCTCTCGTGCGTTGGCGGAGGAAGACGCAGGCTTTTAACTAATTAACTCTTAATTAACAGAAGTCACGTGACCCCCTTCCTCGCGTCAAATGAAGCACGTGACATGTCCGATTGCAAAAACCGTGAAATGATTTCTCACCGTGCAAACCGTTTATTGACTACTTTAGTTGTTGCCGTCGTGGCTCAACACTGCCGGTGTTTCTCAACCGTCCAGGTGAAGAAAACACCTGCGCAGCTCGCCATGCCTGAAGTCACGTGCTTTAGTGGAAGGATAAGAGCCGTTTTTGGCCCGCAGGTCAAAAGTAACATACACATTAGAGGTGAGATCGCGTTATTTGTTGCAATTCTATGTTTCCAACCCCTGAGATGACAAACATGGTTGGAAATGGTTTCAGTTAAGAGCTCATACAGTCGTTTAATTAATCCCCAAATATGCTCTCAACATTTGCATTGGATCTATCAATATTATATAGTAATATTTTACTTGGTTGTTTTCTTAGACATGACAGGGGCTGTGATACCGGTGCTTAAATCTGATGAGTCCTGTGGAGTGAGTCTGGGCAGAGGCAAGAACCAGAACCTCTCCTTCTTGAGCAGATATGACAGCTGCTACGCAAGGATCAAGGTAAAATAAGGGACTGTATGACATTTAGTGAGGTGTAGGAGAGAGGGCTGAACATTGTGTGAAAAACTGCAGCACCTTCCCCACAAAATCATTGAGAAATAATAATATCTGTAAGAACAATGACACATTCATGGAGTCGACACAAACTTCTTCAACCCCCGACGCGATATGGAAATGTGCATCGCATTTTCTGTCCACAGAAGGGGGAATATAACAAAGCCATTTGTGCGCACATGTAAATGCAAAATAGTGCGTATGGCTTGTGAACATCCACATTGTGATGACCTTTTGATCCGCAGGGCAGCAAAGTGGTCATCCCTCTGCAGGTACAGCTGACAGGAGAGGGTCGATGGCTGAGGGTAAACATCAGCTGTCCTCTGATAAAGAGACGAAGAGAGAGGACTCGACTGACCCCAACACGTGAGTGGAGACAGCCGATGAGCGCAACAAGCTTATTGACACAGTTATGTCTTCTATATCTGCAGCTGGTGCTCATCTTTTCATCAATCAAAACTTAAACTGGCTCATTTTCCTTTTGGAGCCTGGTGAAGAGTTCTGAATAATTTATTTTCGCCCTAAAGTGATACTATCGTCGTTTGCAATACAGAGAGGGTGTGTGGGCACAATTTGCTGCGTCAGTTTAGGACACTTACAACATGGCTCTTCTCCAGCATTACCTGGAAACTGCGACACAGAAAGAGCTCTACAACTGGCCTGTGGCCCCCGAAGCATTTCCAGCGACGCCTGCTACGAACTGGGATGCTGCTATGACGCTCGGGCATCAACCTGCTACTACAGACCCAACGGTAAGATCATCATGTAAAGCGCTGCTTACGTGGAAGGGATGAGGTCAAAAATATCCAGCTGTGACATTTCCTTTCAAATACGACCATGATGGTGAAACACGCTTGGTTTAAAGTGTAACGCATGCTTCGGTGCGTTGACTCTCCCTGCAGCCTGCTCTCTGGATGGACACTTGGTGTTCTCAGTGAAGTCCACAGACACAGACCCCCCCATCGATCCCAGCAGCCTCACAGTCAAGGGTCAGCCACAGTGTTCCCCCGCGGCCACCACCCCAGACACGGCTATCTTCAAGATCGGAGTTATGGACTGTGGTGCAAAGATGAAGGTAATGCTACTCGCCAGGAGTCCAACATAAGATTATCTAGTATTTGGACAAAAGAACGCATTGTTTACAGCGCTTATTGTCTTACTGAAATGTTATCTCACGACATGAAAGCTTGATTTCACTGCATGAAGTAGTTGATGCATGTCTGAATCCTCTTCTTTTTTTTTTTTAGGTAGAGAGAGATGTGAAGATCTATGAGGTGGAAGTGGAGGAGCCGCATACGGAAAATACAACCAAACATTCTCCATTTAGGTGAGTTATTTTTATTTTCCGATGCCTCGGACAGGTTAGAAAGGTGTACTGGTGATGACATGTTAATAAGTCTGGGGGTCTTTAGCGTCCAGGTCCGGTGTGAATACGACTTGACGCATGTAAAGCGTGCAGCAGACTTGCGGTCCTTCTTTCCAGTGACCAACCCGCCGCCTGCGATTGCACTGGGGACCATGAGAGTGCAGATGAGGATAGCCCAAGGTAATAGAAACAGAGATCACTCATCGTGTTAAGTCCATTTTTAGAACTAAGCCTTAGCCACCGCCTTTGTGATGTCTTATTCCTCTAGACGCGTCCTTCACTTCCTTCTTTCCCGAGGACCAGCTTCCGATAACCTTTCCGCTGGGCGAGGCCGTATACGTGGAGATTTCCATCACCCAGCCGTCCCCGGACCCCACGCTTTCCCTGCGTATACGGGACTGCTTTGCCTACCCAGCGTCTAGACACTCCGCGTGGATGCTTCTCCACGACGGGTAAGGCGGAGGCCGCTGCAGCAGCAGCAGCAACCTGACATGACCTTTGAACCACTCGCATGTGTTTCTCCTCCTGGATAGATGCCCCAACCCTCTGGATAACATGAGAAGCTCTGTCCCCGTGGGCGACCAGGGGAAGACCACCTCCCACTCCCAATTCAGGAGGTTTAACGTCAAGACCTTCGCCTTCTTGGACCCTCATACAGGCCATCCGAGTGTGGAGGAAGTAAGGTTATCACATCCACATATTTATTTTTTTTTTCAATAAAAACTGTGCATCTCTGCAAATGTGCGTGATCTCTCACTTAGATGTACTTCTACTGTTGGGTGGAAATCTGCACAAACGACGTGGAGTGCGCGCAGCCTTGCGCCATCGTTTGTGAGTATATTACAGCACGTTTTTTCTTCTCATCCACCTGTGTGAGCCGCGTTCCAGCGGTTTACTCCCACCTCTCCTCCCTCAGCATCTGAGGGTGAGAGACGGAGGAGAGAGGCGACGTCTTGGTCCGACCAGGTCCAGCTGGTCTCTTTGGGGCCGCTGCTGCTGGGGCAGAACAGCACTGAACTGGAGGACGACCAGTGCGTGAAACAGAATGCGAGTGAGTCCTGGCTCGGCACATGGAGACTATAGTTAGCACGTGACAGTGGATCGTTGAAGTTAATGTCTTTCTCCGGTCCCTCAGTGTTTCAGGTGACTGCGTTTATTCTCTCTGGTGTCGGTGCTGCCCTGGTATTGATCCTGGTGTTCACTTTATGGTCGAGCGGCAGAAGGCAGAAGCACCGCAAGTTATTGAAGTTGACAAACTACCTCAATAAAACTTGACGTGCATTCAAACGTGTTTTTGTAATTCATTTTAATTAATCAGAAAATCCAGAGCAGTTGTCGTTCATTGTGATCGCTTTCATGTTTTCTTAAATCAAGGCTGAAAAATTGGTTCAAATGGTTCCAAAATACTTTCTTTTTTTTAATGATAAAATTGTCATTTTATAAAAATTGACATTGGTACTGCAAGTTTTTTTTTTTAATTTTTTTTTTTATATAAATCAAATTCTTTATTCTACTAACATCAGTGACTTCCCAGATGTCTTTTGTGAGGTGCTGGTAATTCAATAATGATGAAAAGAATTCTGTCAGAATAACAGTTTATTGACACAAAAAGAAAAGGCTCATGGTTATAATGTAGCTCAAACAAGCAGTGAAATCAGAGCAGTCGACTCAGTACGGTCTGAACTGTCTCTGTGCCCTCAGCAGAGCTATTCTCTGTTTGTCCTCCTCAAACTTTTTCCTTAGATCAGCAATATCTGGAAAAAAAATAAACAGTGTTTATGTGAGCCACAATAAAAGTGTTTGCATCTCCTTCACCCTACAGCAGGGACATATTCTAGCCTTCAAGATGAACAAAGCTCATTAGGTACTTACGTTCTTTCTGTGTGTTCCTGTGCTGCCAGGTGTAGAAGTTCAGGAGCTCCTTCCTCTTCTTCTTCCTCATCTCTTTCTGTAGGGTCCTCTTGTTGGCTGCCTCGCTGTGGGGGCGGCCCTTGGTGCCCTTGGGTCCCCTGGTGACTTTCACCCAGCCCTCTTCGTCCTCTTGCTGCTGCTCGGCCTCCTCCCTCTGCCTGTCCGCTTCCTGTAACGAAAGAAAATAAACACACGTTGAGGTCACAACATGGACTAGACAGGGAGGGGTGGAGGAAGAGCTGCGCAGGTCTCACCTCCTCTTTCCGCTTGTCGTAGCCCTCCATGAAGGAGTCGACTATCTGCTGCAGCTTCTCCGGATGACTAAAAGACTCCGCGTACTGCTGAATCCATTCTGCCGTAAGAAAGGAAAACTAATGTCAAAAGCATGTTTTGTTTGAATATGATCAACAAGGATCTGGCTCACATTGAAGCCGTAATACTAGATCCATATTTACAACATGAGAAAATATCAAACCTTGCATTACAAGAAAGTAATGCCTCACTCACTCTGTGCTCCGGTCCTCACTTGACGCTGCTCTGTGCAGACCACCAGAGGCGCGTCGTGTGGGTGCGATTTAGCTGCGGACACACTGGAGGGGTTCTGGAACACGATGTAGCCCACTTTGAAACCCTGGAGGGGGACAGACAGAGGCACACACGAGGTTAGATCACGACCTGGAATAGACTAGAAATAGAGTTTGCTCGTGGTGTTGCAGCAGAAAAAGAGCTCAGCAGCAATGCATGCCAACCTGTTTATCAGCCGGTTTAAAGAACCTGGACAGCTTGGGTCCGGACTCCTTTGAGGAGCCCGGGTGGTCCCTCAGCTCCACGGACTGAACACAGCCGAACTGCGAGAACAGCTCTTTGACAACACCCTGAAAACAAACAACAGGAATGATAATGCAATGAATATCCTCATTGGACAACTCCTGTAGAGCACACAGCTGGCTGAATGAGCGGTACCTCTGAGCAGTATGGGGGCATGTTGAGCACAAACAGAGTCCGGTCCAGCGGCCTGTGGGAACTCTTCTCTGCTCGTACTTTGTGCTCCTTCAGGTACAGCTTGTGCTCAGAGACGCTGTCCGAGCTGAACCGTAAGGAGAGCTCTGCGAAGAGACACACGAGGGAAATACATGAAGCTAGAGCCGACACATGCCTCGGTACAGTAACGTTTATCAGTAATTATCAGCCGTTCAGCGACCACCCAGACCGAGCAAAACCACAAGAAAAAGTTCCGTCCGACGATAAGTCGGTATGCTAGCAAAAATAATAAATGAATGTTCTTATTTTTGTCAATAAATACCTGTGAATCCTCCGGGAATAATACAAGGCTGGCTACTGGCATGTTTCTTCTTGGACGGCGCCATTTTGGTGTGACCTTTCACACCGGAAGTACAACACAAACCAAGTACGGAATTTACATATTTAAAAAATACGAACACAACACAGATTGTATATTTATTTTTAACGACGATGTATAAATATGTTTTTATTACCAGTGACACATTTCAAGAATTTCCCAACAAAGCCATTTCACCTTACATTTAAAATGAATCAGTTGTCTTCAGGCGTTATTACTTTGTGTGTGCTGCATAAACAATACACATTACCATCTTCAACACAACCAGTAATAAAGACTGTCCCAAAGGCATTCAGCTGTTAGGTTTTAGTTATAAATTTGACTTCGACGTCCATAAGACAAGTAGCAAACAATCCAAATTTCACGGCTAAAGTAAACTAATAAAATATTGGAATAACAGTGACAGCAATTGTATATATGTGTAATCGCATCACTGGTCTGACATTTTTATAAAGTCTAAATGTCAGCACAGCCTTTAGACTGCATCACGATCACATGGCAGGCAGGAAAGAAGAGTCGCAGACAACATCTACAAAGCTAAATATTTAATGGCGACATTTCACAGACAGAGCCGACCTCTCTAGTCTCTTGACTGATACCCAGGAAGCAACAGAAAATCATTTACAGTCTTTGAACGTAAATCAGGTGTAATGTATACTAGGGAAGAATTACACATGTACTGCTTCAAAGTTCAACAACAAAGTAAAATCAGTCGCAAATAGAGCACACGAGAATCTGGTTGCCACAAGGATGGTACAAACTAAACATCAACGTAGAATGACTGCTTGAAAAGTGGTTTATGGAAAACTGTGGTATTATAGTTTCAGTCAATCCCTGATTTAGTCACCCAAGACAGCGTCATTGTCATGCCTTATCAGAGAGACGTAGTATCTACTGTATGCTGTTTCTTCTACTTTTAGTTTGTCTACATTCCATTGTATTTCTATGGTCTGTGTGCACACAGAAAACGTGAGGAGGCGGCAATAGACAACATAACTGCACACATCTGTGGATCTACAGAGCCTTAAACACAATGTTTCTCTCATAATGACAATGCTGCTGAGTATCAGGCTCATTTCCATGCCTAGTTTGAGGGGGACACAGGTGGGTGGAGATAAACGTGAGTATTTAAAAAAAACCTCAACATTTCCACTGAATTGACAAAAAAAATGAAAGAAAACCCTACACATCCAGTTTGATTTGGCATCCGCCACCACGTTGGATTAAAACAACAAATCACATCACACTTTCGTCCACTCGCCCATATCTAGAACACACTGGTAACATTTGGATGCCACAAAAACCAAGAACACGATTCGTCCCGGTCAGAGGAGTCATGTATATCAAATGTGTAAAAATCTCTTTCATATGAGACAATGTGGGCTGCCGGCTGTCGAGATGAAAACACGCGGTTTGTACGTGAAACACGGAGAATGGAGCAATATATGTTTTTTATAAACGAGACATTCACACTGGACACGAGCTATATCTTGATGCGAAAGGCAGTGGCCTGTGAGCTGGGGGGCTCCGCGGTGGAGGTGGACTGTGCGGTGGACTTGAACAAAGCCTTGAGGATGGTCTGAGGGTCCACCTCTGGGGTGGGCTGAGAGGAGGCTCGCTGACCGGCGGGGCGAGACAAGGAGGGGGGCAGGCCGTCTTTCTTTGTGCCGCTGCTTGCTCCTGGAGTGTCACTGAGCCTCCTGTTGGGAGTCGAGGAGAAAATGTCCCAAGATGACAAAAAGGTATAAAACAATATGCAGGGTCCCACTTCCCACTTCTTATTTTTTGTATATTCAATGTCAAAGTAAGCTAAACCTAATTACTTCAAATTAAGTTACTTTTATAACAGCTCATGAGAAATATTCTACATAAAGTGCATACAAACACATTCAACAACAGATTCAAGTGAAAGACTGAAGCCCCGTGGACTCACAATAGAATGGGCTGATCCGAAGTGATGACATTTCCCTGAATATGAAGGTTACACTTCATGGGTTGCCCTGAGGGGGGGGGGGGAGAGAGAAGAAAAGATAAGAACAAAACAGAAACACCCAAACTCTACCAATCTGTGATGCTAAATACATCTAACTTGTCTATCCTCTCCGACAAACATACACATGCATGGCCCTAACCAGCGAACTCACTGTTGTAGTCATTGACCTGCATGCAAAACAGAAGCCAGAGCCCCAAAACCCAGAGAGGTTTTAACCCGAGCGTCCTTGCTACTGGCACTCACCGTCCAGGCAGCGGTTGTTGTACTTCCTGTATGCGCTCACGGCGTCCTCTTTACGCACAAACACCACTTCGGCCACGCCCACCTTCACCAGCCGCGCTCGCTTCAAGGCCCCGCACACACAGAACAGTTCCTGCGGACGAACAGACACCGAATGAGTCATCACAGCACTACGGCGCTCACCGTTGAAAGATGGTATTAGCACACCGTGTGATGTACTCACAACTATGTCCTCCTCAGTGACTCGGGGGTGCAGGTTGTTCACCGTGATTTTTGTCCCCTCCAAGGGACTGAAAGCAGGCTAGAAAGAAAAACACCACATGGTCAGGTCTATGAAGGGAAAATGACATTAAAATAATGTGTGCAAGCATGATGGTGAGGTTAAAACGCCTGTAAATCGATGTTTTCCCATCATTAGAGTTACAGCTATTGCACTCTTGTCACCATAACGAAGTGGTCAGCTGACAAAAACAAACGACATCCTCGAACAATTACTTTATGTTAAGAAACCAAGGACACAGATGTCCGTCTACTTGTATGAAATCCAACACCAAATACTGACATCAGCATCTGGATCAGATATTTTACTGTAAGAGTGCAGGAGAAGGGAAGCATAACGCAAGTAACAGCTGAGTACAATGGAAATTATTCAAATATTATTATAAAAACACATGTCTCGTATGTATTGTGGTTTTAAAAGTTACTCAGGAGCTTAACAATCCAAAAACAACAAACAGCTCTCAGTGCAAGCATTTCTAACTGGCTTTATAACACAGGCTACCAAAGGCAGGGACGGTCTGCACACTGAGCTACAGTACAGAGACAAGAAGGGGAATGTTTTACCTGAGGGGGAGCAGGAGCTGCTGTGCCGGCTGCTGCCGTGCTTTGCTGGAGAGTCCTGGAGACCGGTTGTAAGGCTGCAGCGGAGGACCGGGTAGCAGCCATGCTGGGGTTGGGCCGGGTGGGGGCCACGGGGACAGGAGGACGGGGGGCCGTGTAGGCATCGTTTTTAACCACCTTGGTGATCGGGCCTGACATAGAGAATGTGGAGCTTGGGCCTGACATAGAGAATGTGGAGCCCAATGAACCGGGCTGTGTGAAATACAGGAAAGGGAAGGGATTCAGTAAATGCGGGAAACAGACACTGGATGAACAATAAAATGATGTGTTTCAGTGTCTATGCTGATCAGATCAGCTGTCATGAAGCGGCGCTTACCCGTGATTGTAGCATGTTATTAGCTGTAGTGATCTTCATTTGTTTACTGTGGAAGCCATCGTGCTCGTTTGAGAGAGGCTGTGGGAGACAAAAGCATCTATTTTCGTAACACGTTTTACAATCTTAGCTTGTAAACAAGGGACACATTATGTTCGCTATCAGGGGAATATTTTCATTAACACAAAAAGAACAGCTCTACCTGTGGGGCAGCACGTAGTCCACCGGACATCCCTACTGCTACTGGACGTTGCTGTAAAAATAAATAAATAAACCATTAGAGTACAGCAAGCAGGTCAATGTGCTTTAAGGCTTCAACAGCACATACAGGCAGTGTCACTGATCTGCTAAGAACAAAGCTACTTCTTTTAACCTCACCTGTATAGTCTTGGTGATTTTTAAGGGTGGTGCAACACCCGACTGTGTCTGTGTCCCTCCGAAGCTCCTCTTGAGGCTCAGTCTATCACGAGCATCCATCACTCTCTTATTATTGATTACCTGTGGCGCCGCGCTGGCCCTCGCACTCAGTCCTTGTACATGAGGGTTAAACTGCCTCATGTTCACGGCGGCGAGATTGTCGTCGTTGTTGTTGTTGGCGTGTATCTGTATCTGTGGCACGAGTGTGTGGCTCTGCAGGTGGTGCGTTGCCGCCATCGGTTGCGCGGTCTGTGCCGGGAGGCCGAATGGATTCTGCACCTGCTTGCGCGAGTTGATCATCTGTCGAGCATCCTGCACTCCACCGCCTCCACCGCCGCCTCCACCTCCTCCTCCTCCTCCTCCTCTGCCCCGGATTTTGAAGCGAGCGTCCTTCTGAACCAGCTTCTCTCTGGCATCTTTCACTTGAAAACCTGAGGGAAGACAGGCGGAAGATGGAGGTGTATATTTAGCATTACTCCCCAAAACTTCCCGATCAGTTGGCTTTCACTCTTTAGGCAGTAGTGTGTTTACCTGCTCCGAGCCGTTGTCTGACGTCATTGGCCCCAATCTTTTGTCGAGCGTCAAAGCTCTTGCCAACTCCTCCTGCTCCCCGTCCGAACATTGGTCTGAAAGACAACAAGTTTCTTTAAGTTTAGCAATAGAACTGCAACACCTATTAGGGACGTGAAGACAGTGGTCCATTCCACAATTTATAGTTCATAAAAACTTACAATGTGAAAGCTACTTCTGATACTATAATTATTTGTTTTCACACAGTAACTTACAGGCAGAACAAATATAATGTGTGTTGTACTGTGCCCTGCTATTTGAACAGACAATATAAGAATATAATTTATTCTACGCTTTCTCACACTATGGTGGAAGAGGAACAACATTAAGAAGTTTTAAACTTTAATTTGAACAAGTCACCGCCCTAGTTTATTCCATTGTATCCTGAGACTACATTTGTTCAATAGGTGCGACCACAAACCTGCTTTACTGCCAACGTAAATATTAGCTTGCTAGCTAACTACGCCTGGCGAGTGAAGCTACAAACAAAAGCAGACTGGTCGCGCGGCTCTTCGAACGTATATGTTGTCTCGAATACTAAATATATGTTTGGTAAAAACAGTTTTATTAAATACGTAACCACAATTTTCCAAATTCAACGAGGAATGGCTTCACACATAAAGGCCTACAGCTAATACACATAGCGTAGCCTAGCGTACGATGCACTCGCTGATTGCTGTAATGGCTAACGTTTGTTACAACCAGCTCTCAATTCATGTTATGCTTCACGTAATGTTACTACAAACGGCTCCATCCATAATAAGCAAACATACGTCCACACAGTGATAGTTTTAATACCGTTTAGCTGGTGCCTTGAGATTAATACCGCGCTGTCGTATCACTTCATCCAAAGAGACGTCTGCCATTTTCTCACAAATACTCACAGCGCGTGCGTGAATGACATGTTTTTAGCTAAGGCTACGGAAGACGATTTTGGTCAAAATGCAAACTGTCTGTTGGGAACTGTATTAATATTTAATATCAATCTCAATGTGTATTGACAATGGGCTTTAAATAAATGAAGTATGTCAGTGTATTGTTGAAACATACTGACTATATTGCTTACAAACGCAACAACTGCCCAAAGTATCTGCGATCGATTACTTTTGCCAGAATACAAAGGACATACACGCTTCGGCCCATGAGCCTTTGCGCGAAATTGTCGCAAAAAATACTGCAGTTTTGCGCTATACATACAGTTCACAAGATTCAAAACATTGTTTGACATTTCATTTTCATAACTTATTACTTAACACACTGGCAACTATTGATGCAAATGGAAAATAAACTGCTGCCAGTGAGCCACAGTCGGCACCATGACAGAGAACACCTGGGCACGGAGCCTATAGCCTTCTTCGACGCTTGATTTGTTATGCCTTAAACTGATGAGTAAGGAAAATAACGACGCGGGGTGACGCCCGTGTCCTCGTAAACATAACGAGAAGAATTTTTGAAGGGGCATAGGTCTGTCTGCTGAGGTGATTCGCCTACTTTGTGAGATGCCTCGTGGAGCCAGGACCTTCCCCGTACCCTCTCACCGTTAAAAAACAAAATACAAATGCCAGCGGCGGCAAAGAAACTTCACTGATGGAGTAAGAGTGTCATTGTCGGTATAACAGACACAAGCCCAGGCTTACTCTCACATGCTCACATTCAACTCAATCATTTTTTGCTGTTGTTTGTAATGTATTGATATTGTCTAAACAAACATCTTAATCAATAATATTTAACGGAGTCATATCTTATGCATATTCATTTTATGTTCTCTGTAATATTGTAAAAATGTAATATTATATAAATGGAGGCTCAAATAAGCCCAGTTGGCTTTTTGCCTCTTACTGCACTGTGATATTTATTTATCTCTGTTATTTTATTGTTTAAATTGTGCAAAATAAAGAAACTAAACCAAACTAATAGGTAAAACTGTTACGATGAAATGGTCGGACTATCTATAGAAGACTAAACTATTAAAGTTCAAAGTTCAAAGTTAGCTTTGTTGTCAATTCCTCAATATGTACCGAACATACAGAGGAGTTGAAAAAACCTTTCTCTCCAGTCCAACATATAAAGTGGATACAGTGCAAATAGATAAAAAAAAACATTTAGACAACATATATATTAAGAAAAAACTATCATTCTGTATTTAGCAGCTGTCAGACATGGGGAGTCTTAAAAGAGAGGAGGGAGAGAGTTCAGCAGTATTATATACATCTATTATAATATAATGTGACGTTAATAACGAAAGCATAAACATCACACACCAGCTGCGTCCCAATCCTGCGGCTGCATCCTTCGGAGGCTGCATCTAAAAAGCTTTTATAGCATTTATTTTATCCAAGTGAAGTGGCAGCTGGAGAAGCCGCAGTATTCACTTTTAAATGTAATTATTGGGTTTCAACTCACTCGCATATCACAGATACAAATGTTAAAAATAAAAATAAGCGACCTTATAACATCACGTTTGTTAAAATGATCGGTTAAGTTACGTGACGTTTGTAGCTGACAAGCTAGCGGTCCTGGTCGTCCAAGGTAACGTTACGAGTTAACAGCGGATCTGACCGCCCGTTGTTTGGATTTAGAATTTAAATCATGTAGGTGTTTGATTTTTTCAATAATATATTTTAATTGAAATCTAATGCAATCATATTTAGTGGAATGTTTTAACGTTATGCCATACGTAATGTGTAATAGTTAGGCTATGCTCCTCTCCTGTTTATAGAGTTCATTAGTATTTGCCACTTTTTCCTCTTTTTTTTACCACGGGTTTTGAACTCAGTGGGTCACGCTACTGCATTCTGGGAAAGGGAGGTGTGAGCGGAAGCGTATTCAGTTGGTTGTAATCTGAAACCACAATAGTGGTTAGTAGTCTTTTTATTTGTGATTTTGTTGTTCAAGTCTGTTTTCTTGAATGTATTATGGATTACGTTAAAGTCATTTATTTTCCGTTAAATGATAAATTGCACACTTGGTTTAGAGATTTATTTTTATAGTATTTGTTTCATGTTATGTTGGTATTTGATGTTTGATTAAAATTTGCGAAAGACGCTATTTTTGATAAATAAATTTAAAAAATCAAAGTTATCGGAAAATTATCTGGACATCTTTTTATTTGGGTCATAGGAGAGCCGTCTGAACCCTCTTATTGCTCCATCGAGGACAGCAGAACGATTAAAGTTGAACTTGCAGGTTTTCCATTTTGTCACTGAGCTCTCTCAGAATTTGAGTAATGTGGGAATGTGTTCTTTTGGCTGCCTAAAAATGTGAATGACAGACCTATCAGTAACTGTGATATGACAAGATGACCGTGTCATATCATAATTATATTTTGATATTGTGCAATGACTCACATTATTCAATGATCTATTTCGTCCAACAGTATGTACCTGACAGTACTTGTACCTCTACCTTGTTGCAAAGTAAAAACACAAATGTACCTTGAAGTTATTTTCTATGTAGATCCTTATTTTGTTATCATCTGTGGCTCTCCAGTGTTGGTAAGTTCTATATGATCATTTTGAAATAAACTACACCAGCGTTATAAAAAATGATAATAATGATATGAATTAATTAAGTTCCCACATTGTTTCCCCCTTATTCATTAGCGTCACATCCTGTTCCCTTGCACCTACATGTGTTATTACGTTCTGTACTAGTTAACAATCAGCAAAGATTTCAATTATTTATGATTTACTTATAATTAAAATGGAAAGAATTATGCTGCATGTTGGAGCAGTAATCTAAAGCTTTCCCTTTTTTATTTATATCAACGTGTAATATTATATTTATCAATACTGAACAGTACCAACAGTAATGCCTTTGAGTCAAATGAAAATCAAAAAGATATTAAATTATCACTTGCACAATATTTATTGTATATTAATTGTCGTACATTGTCAGATTTTTGAATTATATCAGAAATATGATATTTAGACATATTTAGAAAGTTTGTCATACATTGATTTTTATTGTGCTACTCTGTAAATAAACAGTATACATACAGTACATACAGTTTACATGAACATACTGTGTTCCATGTGACAAATGCATCTGTCTCCTTCTTGGTTTGTGAGCAGATGCAAAGAGCTGCTGGCGGCTTCCTGTGTGTGTGTGAGGAGCTTCCCAAACCCACCAGCACAGAAGAAGCAGACGGAGACAAACTATGTCCTCTGTGCCGGTGGGGACGGGACGCTCCTCGTCCTCTCGGCCGGTGGGTGGAGCGGGTGGTGTCGGGGGGAGGGGCAGGGAGGACGTCACCGTACTCACTGGGTCGCGGACTCACTGGGGTGCTGAGAGTGGTTCAGTGCTCTGTGGTGGGTCTGGGTCTTCCTGGGATGATGGATTTGGTTGACGTCCACTCTCAGCTGCTCCAGGAGTGAGAAAAAAGCACAGAGGAGTCCTGCCCTGTGAGACACAAACACAAGAGATGAATAATTCTAACTCGACTATACGACCTTTACATTGTTCAATGATGGAATCTTATTACTGATACTTCTGTAGTCTTAGTGAGGGATTACTTACTCAGCCCACTGAAAGAAAGACGACCGCCGCTCTCCATCTGGTCCTGCGGTCCTCCATCCTTCTCATTTGGTCCTGTAGTCGTCCATCCTTCTAAACTGGTCCTGTGGTCCTCCATCCTTCTCATCTGGTCCAGAGTGAACACATCTTCTCTGTTGTCTAGGAGATCCAGGATGTTGCTTCCTGTGTTACAGCCATCGATACCTGAGTAAAAGAGACTTGGAAAACTTTTCTTAACGTTAGTCATTTTTACCATACCTCTGTCTGATGCAAGCCAACATATGGAGGTTACAGCAGTACACCATCAAGACCAAAACTTAAATTGTACCAGAGCTGTGTTTTATCCACCCTATTGTACGGTTCTGAATGCTGGAGAATGACACAAGAAGACCTCAACAGACTATCAACCTTCCACACCAAGAGTTTAAGACGAATACTGCACATTTTCTGGCCAAACACTATTTCAAATGAAGAACTGTATGACAAATGCCAACAAGAATGCATGGAGACCATCCTAATGAGCAGAAGATGGGGATGGATAGGACATGTGTTGAGAAAAGATCCTGCTGATATTACAAGAACAGCCTTACATTGGACACCAGAAGGGAAAAGAAAAAGAGGCCGACCAAGAAACACATGGAGAAGAACTGTGGAGAAGGAGGTGCAGAGCCTAAACCACTCATGGGGCACCATCCAGCGACTCGCCCAGGACAGACAGGAGTGGAAGACTTTTGTTGCTGCCCTACATGCCAAGAGGGAAATGATATATAACATATGGGGGCCTTAGTGTGTTTTTGCTTGGTTTATTTATGTATCTACTTATTTTTATAAATGTTATGGTATTTGTGCATGAGAATCAAAAATCGGTCCCAGAGCATGACACGGGAAAACTCAAAGTCCCAGGATGCAGTTGGGCAGGCGCAGATCCAACCTGCTGCCCCCTCGCGCTGTTCATCACTGCAGCCTAACGTCACTGCTGTCTCTCGGATCCGCTAGAGGAGAAATGGCTGCAGCTCTGTCCCGTGCCCTCAAACTACCCGGTGAGATGCTCCGCACGTCTTTACACCAGACACACACACACACACACACACACACACACACACACACACACAGAGGAGATAGACTCGAGCACATAATTTACTAAAAGCGTTATCAGTCAGGACTACGTGGTTTGTGAGGACTATCTCTTGCTGCTCGGCTCTTTAACGGTGTCAGCAACTGATTCATTTGATGCGATGATTCGTCACAACACAGTTAGCATGTGCTCCATATCAGCCCAGATTAATGCACACGTTTTGTTACAGATGTCATTAAATATATCTGCGTTTCTAAAGCAGCGTGTTGACATCTCTCTGTGTCAACGCGTCTCTGCTGTGTGCTGCCTCTGAGCTAGCTGCTAGCTAATGATAACCCGACACAAGCGGACCTGCTCGCGAGAGTAAACAAGCGTTGGAGCGCGATAACACACATTACAGCACGCATATACAACACGCATACCAGGCACGATGTTGTACCGTGTATACAAACGTTATTTATGTGACAACGAGGGACGTGCGACAGTACTTTATTATTAAGTGTTCGTTGAAGTATTTCATTTGGGATATTTCTCTTTATATTTCTGTATCGTCTTAGAGGTCTGCAATTATGAGCAGGCTACAATAATGATTTATTTAAAACGTTTTGAACATCAAATAACCTTCATGCAATAATTATAATTTATAGTATTACAAGTAGTGGTTTTAGTATTATTAGGAGTATCAATATACTACACATGAGATCATAGAAACAGTAACTTTATCCTTATTACTGCCCTCTAAAATAAAGCTACTATATATAAATGTGTATGTGCCATATATACACAAATACATATATATGTATATAAATGTTTAACAGTGTTAATTACATGGAATGCTTAGGGTAAATAAATGCAATATGTTTGAGTACTAAAGGCATTAAGACCCTTACCTACATCTGAAAAAAAAAGAAAACATGAGTAGCTAGAGTAAAGGAAGGATACATCTATAATGCATCAGTATTGTCAAAGAATATATGAGTTATTGTGGATCAATATGTGTCTCTGCAGGGAAGAAGGGCTCGGAGCTCGGCGAGTACGACCCTCTCACCCAAGCAGACAGCGAGGACGAGAGCGAGGAGGATGACCTCGTGCTCAACTACCCCCGGAACGGCCTCGGCCGGGACAGCTGCCTCGGGGCGGGCTCCTCGAAGCTGCGGGGGGGCCGATCTGGAAGACTCGTGGGGGCCGACGATGAGGCGCGGGAGGACGAGGAGGAGGAGGAGGAGGAGGAGGAGGACGAGTGGCGGGAACGTCTCCCCAGCAAATCCAGGCAGGACAGAGATGACGCCAAGGGCACGCAGTACTGGAGCCACAGAGACTCGGCAAGGGACAGAGGCGGAGAGGACAGGGGAGGGGGGCCCGGGCCTTTGGGGGGCTCCGGGCTCGGGGTTCACGGTGCCGACGTGGAGGAAAAGAGGTTGAGGGTGAAGAACACCGTCCGGAGTGCGTTCTTCCTGGTGCCTCTGGTCACCGCCGCGTCGCTCGTGCTGCTCTGTGCATTTCTGATCCCGTGCCAGAAGGGAGAGCTGGAAAAGAGGCCGCAGTGGGAGAGAGCACTGGGAGATGCTAGAGGTAAAGAGAACGACGTCAGAGTTGGATCCATCGCTACGGCTACATTATCTCTGATACTGTCCACATACAGCACCACTTATAATGCTCACTTTATACAGACTTACGTAGGAGTCTCTGTGGCTAGACGGCGCAGCCACGCCCATTAATCAGTCCACTGTAATTACACAGGAGTGTGAGCATCACATGCTCTGTTTCAGCATGCCCAATGAGAGCTTCGTAGAGTGGCAATAAACACAAACTTGACAGGATTGCGCCTTTAATGACCACATAAGTATTTTTTTTACCAGTGTAATTAAAGCAAACGTGGACAACTCAATCAATAAACATAACCACTAATGTTTTGGTACTTAATTACTCTTGTACATTTCTCCTCTACTGCTGGACTGTCAGTCAAACACTGACGAGGATTCTCCTGGTGGTGTTCATCACGTTGTGGTTTCTATGTCTAGGGGTCACACCACCCGCGCTGGCGTTGTGGGATGTCGACGGCGACTCGGTGGATGATGTGTTTCTTGGTGTTACTGAATGGACCAATGACACCCATTCCACCCGAGGGAACAAAGGTATGCGAGGAATCATTTCCTGGCACCCCCACTTCAACATCTGATTCTCTCTCTGATTCTTGTAAACGCCGTGGTTCATTCATTGATCGGCCGTGTTCTCTCCTCCAAACCAGTGTACAGCGCGGTGGCCCTGTCGGCGGTCAGCGGTCTGGTGCTGTGGAAGAAAGTGGTGCAGGAGTCTGTGATGTACATCCAGTGTGGTCTGCAGTACAGCACCCAGCCCCAGTCCCCTGTGGTCCTCCTCATCGGGAAGTCCGTTCTCATGGCAGTCAACGGCACCACAGGTTAGGAGACGAGCCCGAGCCACATGGGTCTGTCTGTTTCATGCGAAGATCACAGGACTTAGCTATGACCACCTCTGTGGACCTTTTTGTATTTGTTCTTTTATCGTCTTAGTCTGGTTATTCTATGTTAATATGCGAAAGAAAATGCACGTTTCAGCAAAACAAATCCTCTCAGCCTCCGGTTTGGTTCCCCAACTAGACAGGAGAGGTAATGCAATAAGGGCAAATCCACCATTCAAACAATTTAAAACAGGGTCACACAGGTTTCCTTTCATTCCCTCAGGGAAGACCTTGTGGTCGTGCCTGCTTAAGGACATTGAATCCCAGGCGGTGCTACTCCCAGACCTCCAGGGCGACTCGGTCCCAGATCTGCTGATAGCCACCCTGCCTGCAGATCAGGTAGTGGAGCCGCCTCCCTCTTTATCTGACCGTGAGCTGAAAGTCCACACCTTTGCATTCAGTGACTGCATACCTTTTTTTAAATTTTGTATCTTTTTTGCTGTCCTCATTTTTCAGGGGTTGGCTCTCTCCCTGACCTTGTTGTCAGGGCGGACGGGGGCGAAGCTCGGACACCCCGTGCCTTTCAACCTCACCGGACAAGGAAAGCTGATCGGCCCTTTGCTGCACGAGACTCAACAAGGGGCTTACTACATCCTCTTTGGACTGGGTAAAGGAATCAAATGTGTAATATACAGATCAACAGTCAGCATGTGGGCTCAGGCTGTTAGCATTAGTTTAGCTGCAGCTGTAAGGATACAAATAGAAAAAAAAAGCACAACTCTCTCTCCTGTTGTTAGCATTCTGAGCTAACTGATTCAGTTCATTAACCTTTTAACTGCAGGTTTACGAGACTTGTCATTGTCCACCCCCCCTCAGGTAACGTGGAGGCCATCTCCCTACGTGATATCTACTTTCGAGCCACTGGCAAGCCGCCCATAACTCAGGCACTCAGAAGGAAGGATGCAGGGTGGGAGGGACTCAAGGAAACCAATTCCTCCTCCTTCATACACATTTACAGGTACGCCTCAGTCACTCGCTCCCACTTTTTAATCCTAATTGAATCTCAAACAGAACTTATATCTGAATCTGATTGGTATATGCAGTTTGTATTGCAGCATTCTTTGTGGTCTGAAGTCACATTTGCACATATTTTTTTTAAATATTTTAAATAAAGATGTAAATGATTTGTTTACTTCCTGTTATTAGACAATTCACTGCACTGTAAGTCAAAAATCACACCTTTTATTGTCTTCCCTCCAGAGGATCTGATGAAGTGGAGTTCCTGCTCCCTCTTGTGGTCGGCTTGGGCAACAACCACAACACCCTGGACACCGCCTCCAACGTCAACTCCAGTAAAAGCGACTGGGTGCTGGTGTACGGCTCCAGCAAACTGTCAGTGCATGGCTCCAGCAAACTGTCAGTGCTCAGACAGAAGGACATACGCAAAGAATGGACCTTCAACTCGGCTCCCATTTGCAGGTAAAGTGCCGCATGTCGTCGTCACATTTCTGCTGCCGTTATGAAGAAATGCAAAGACAGGGGCTTTAAGCTTGGAGGGTGTGGAAGCTCGTGTTCAGAGGAAGTTATGTTTCAGAGTTTTGTGAAATCTCCCTAAAATATTTCTTGGCCCGTCACAGCCAACCGGCCCCAGGACACTTCAACGATGACGGAATCCTTGATCTTTTCATTCAGCATTTCGCGAAAGGCATCATGAAGGTAAAGCAGACTGTCCGCACATTCATAGAGGCGAAAAAGAAGGTTTGGGGATATTGAGTAGACAGATAATTGTACCGGTTTTCTCCTCGTCTCTCAGGTGCTGGTTGTCGATGGCGCAAACGGGCATCTCCTCTGGTCGGCAGAATTCGTGTGTCCCCGTCTCGTTTTGGAAACGTCCGCGATCTCCACCTCGACTGGCCGATCGGCTTTCCTCTTCTGGGCCAGTGATCCAATCACAGCACAGAAGAACGGTACAAAGACAACTGTGAGTCTGCCGCAGAGAACACGAAGATTAGTGAAACAGGAAGAACTTACTGTGTGTGTGTGAATCAAGCGCACAGCTTATTTAAAGTTATTGTCTTTGACCCTCTTGACCTGGAGACATTAATGAAATACTCACCTGTCCACGCCGGCTGTGTGTAGGTGTCACCGGGCGTTGCTGCAGCGGAGCCGCTCATCAGGAAACTCTTCCTGTTGCACCCTGCGCATCCCACAATCCTGCTGGAGCTCACCAGCACCACAGACACGGCCGTCACCTCCGCAGGTGAAGGTTTAAATCTGATTCAATGTGTGGCTTCCTAATCTTTACCATTCAACACCCCCAAAGTCTGATTACCAAGCTGTCTTTAAAAGTATTTCAGTAGTAGACGAGGAAAAATATGTAGTAATTACACAGTAATTACACATGTTGAAGTAATACAACTCCTCCTGTTTTCTCCTACTTTGTGTCCGACAGTGAGCTATCAGGAGCACCAGAAAGACGCCTCCTACATCACCGTGTCCTCCCGACCCACCCCGGGCTCGGTGCCGGGCGCCCGGATAGTCAAGAGCATGAGCCTCCGAGCTGCCATCACCAAGGGCCAAATAGTGAGACTGGAGGAGGGCAACAAGCCCGGGGGACCCGTCAAACCCGGCGTGTTCGAGGTCAACAAGTTCTTCAGGGGGTTGTCCTTCAAGCAGTAGGTGAGAGAGACGCACAGTGTGGCATCGTTTGAGCGCCGCGGGTCAGTGTGATTGATTAATCGCAACGATGAATGTGTCTCGACTGTGTTTTAGTGAGGAGCCACCAGCGCGACAGGAAGTGGGGCAACCAAAAGGACTCGCGCGAGGTTGAAAGGGGACCTGCACTAAGGGGACACTCTGGATTCATTTGGAGCTGTATATACATCTCGTTTGGTTTACTAAGTATGAATTTGATTTCCGTTATGAGACTTCTGCTCTGTACAAAGATTGTGTAGGTAGGTTGTGGTTTATTTGATGTTTGTACAAGGCTTATTTAAATTGTTTAACTTGCATTTTTTGGGGAAGTCTTTAAGATTTTATTGAATGTTGATTGTTTAAACTTGATGACCGACAGTGAAGCACAATAATCCTGTAAATGTGTTTACAGTACGCAGCATTCGTTTAACTCTTCCAAGGCCAGTATGTTCATGTGGCTTCTTGTTGTCGTCATAAAGCCACCAACAGTGTTCCTACTGCTCACCACGCAGTTATCAGTCTGTAAATATGTAATGCTGCACTCTATTTATTGAATTTGCTTCAGCGTTTTTAACCTTCTCGTTTCATTTGTTGATTTATGTTGTGAAATATTTTGAGGTTACATTTTTGTTTCCCCTCAGAATATGTGGCTGCTAAATGTTCTGGCATGTAAAAGTATGAAAATTCTTATCGCATCATGTATGATGTGTCCTTTATTCACTGTCTCATGTTTGTGCTTTATTGAAGTCATGCAGAGAGAAGAATTATCATTAGAAAAATAGAGAGCGCAGGGTGTCGGTGTTGCAGCTCTACGTCCAAAATGATCTGCAGTTTTCCGCATTGTTGCACTGAATTCAGGGTTCTAGTTATCGACAAGAAGTCAGTCAGTACTTGGTATCGTACTCTGTTTACATGCACTACTAAAGTCTTAATAAAAGGGAATAACAATACTAAACTCAGCTCATGCTTAGTGGACACACATCAGTGAGTCTTCAAAACTATGAAGAGAACATAAACATCGGAAACTGATTAAATCACACACACACACACACACACACACACACACTTAATATACACATTAGTGAGCCTTAAAAACTCCAGATTGAGTTTTATCTATCTTTGCTTGAAAGGCTGTCTGCCTTCAGAGCAGGATTCCCCGGTTCACAAAATATCAAACATCACAACAAAACTCAATAAATGTATTTTGTCTTTCCATCCAAATAGTTATAGTTTCGAGATTGAACTGTCCCTTTAAGATAATCCCAATAACACGTCTGAATAAAAGACACAACCGTAGGTATGTGAGTGTTAGGTGTGTATTTACAGCAAAGGGGGAACATCTGTCACACAGGACAAAAGCAAAGAGGGGTCAGAGGTCAGCCGCACAGTTCATGGGTCGTGACCCCCGTAGAATTTGGACAGGAAGTCGGTGCCACGAGGCTCCTCGGTCTCGTGAAAATAGCGCATTATGTGGGTCTTCTGCTTCCACACATGGATCGTTTCCTGGAGCTCCAGTTTCCCCTGGGGATTAAACACAAAGGGAAAATGTTTCAACACAGTAAAGTTTTGCTCTTGTGCGACACTGAGATGAGGTCCTGGGCCGTCCTATGAAACAACTAACTGCTTCAATCACAAAGGTGAAACGATGATGGTTGATGCGGTTCGCAGATCGGTGGCAGGCTGTTTTTACCTTAATGACTAACATGTCGACCACACGGGGGTCAGTGACATGCTTGTTTCTGTCGAACATCTCCCTCACTTTGTCTCTTCCCTGGCGCGTATTGATGTCCAGCTGAAACGTTGCCACTGCAGAGAAAGAGAGATGCAAACAAAAGCTCTGTTTCCACCACATCCAGGAACAGGATTAACGTCGTCTCTCCACCATAATCTAAAAAAAGATGGTTCACCTTAAAGTATGAGCCCATAACACCTGATTGGCATGAAGGAAATATTGTTGTCAATATAAAATATAGTAAGTATAGTATTTTATAACATGTATAAGGCAATAACAAAAGCAGTTTGCACATGTTTTCTTGCACATGGTTAGCCCCGCTATTGCTTTAAGGAACCAGATGAATGTTGAAAGGAGGAACTATTGCAGGTATGAACGCTTCGGCTTCTCAGTATTCATTTAAAAACACATAGCTAGCGTCTGCTACATGTAATGTTATGGTCCGGTTGCTGTTCGCTAGCAGCTACTGTTCGTTATACCTCCACATAGACACACGACCTTGACGCTGGCGCTGCCTGCTAGATATCGCTACCTCACAGCTGCCACTAAGGACCGACATACCTGTGGTGGGGACCTCTCGGTACCAGGCTCGGTACAGGTCCCGGGCCCTGCGCTTAGCCTCGTCCAGGTCCCGGCTAAAGAGCGGTTTCACAACTTTAGAGGCACCAGCCGCCGCTCGGGTCGCCGCCGCGGACGCCATGACTGCTGTGTCGGTACAGCGTTTCCGGTTTTACTTCTTCGATGGTGTTAAGAAACACAGCGGTGACACCTCGTGGAGGGGACGGCTCAAGACAGGAGGCGGTGAGTCACCGACAGTCCGTTAAAATAACTACATAAAAAAAATAATTTAAATAAATAAATAACATTGTTAATGTTTTAGAGACATTCTGTTGTCCTAAACTGCATTAATAAAAATGTAAATGAAACTAAATATTAGACACCACAATGTACCCGATTGTGTCTATACACAGGGCTATTCAATTGCATTACATCATGCAGCTTTTTCTATATTTCTGGAACTGCAATGCATATTTTTTTTTTCCTGCATATGTAGCAATAGTCTGCTGTAAAATGAACAGATATAAGCACGTGTGTCTAGTCTGCCCAGGTAGGTGCACAGCATCACTGAAATGAAATGTATAGTGTTTGTTGAACTTATTTTATTGATTGCAAAAATTGTGTATAATTTATAAAGATGATACAGGCTTTTACAGTACATTAAATATGAAAAATATTTTCAAAAGGCAGGTAGATAAGTCATTTTATCACAATTCATACTGTCAATAAAAAGAAATTGGCTCATTGATGCAACACCTGTCATTTGTTAAGTGGTGGCACATACATGCCAACAATGATCAGGGGGGGGGGGGCTGGAAGCTGGAGAGTTCCTGCTTCTCAACCATGGTTTCAAAAATAAAGACATCTGTGACGTGGGACAACATTCATTCAACAGCTGTACAATCAGAGATCAACTTCCAATTCAGCCTGCCAGGAATTAACAAAGGTTTGCCGTCTTGTCCTGTAGTAATCCCAATGGATTTTTCAGGACGTCATGCTCATAAACACGACACTACGTAAGCACACTTCTCTCCAGGTAAAAAAAAAAGAAAAAAAAGAAAAGATAATTACAGCAAATGATAAGCTCCCATTTCTATAGAAACACAAGCCATTTTCACAGAGTAAACATGACTCAACAGCTGTACAACATAGAAAACTGATGACAGTAGCTCTTATGTATGAACAAAAAAAAGAATCGGATACGGTATGAAATCTTTATCTACAATACCTGATAATAATAACAAAAAAAAAAATCATGTCACTCAACGGATATTCCAGTTTTCAGACCAAATGCGCACTCATACATTCTTGCACTCAAAGCAAGCAAAAGCTAAAATAAAAACATAAAAAGTGCAGTTATCTATAACGTGTGTGTGGCCCAGTGTAATAAAACCAGCTAACAGCTACTCTATGCTGCTCATTGGCAGAAGGATAGAAAACTAAGGCACTATCATGGTCCCCACACAGCCGCAACTGTACAAGTCCTCCGCTTTCTTTTGCTGCTGAATATCAGTCACCGTGGTGCAGACACACCTGCAAAACAATAAACATACAGAAAGAAACACACAAAAAAAACAAACCCTATCAAATACATTATGTGCCTTTCAAAATCTCCACAGAGACGGTGAGATGTTGCCCGGCTCTACATCCGTCCACACCTGTCTCCTTGTCTTCCAGAGCGCTAGTACCAGCAGCAGGGTCTCAGTGGTCCAGGCTGTTGCCCAGCTTCTGCCCCTCCTGCAGGGCAGCCATGGCCAGCCTCAAGTGCTCCTTTAGACTCTGGATCTCTCGCTCGCTCCGGCCCTTCATCCCGCTCAGCTCCTCGTGCACCTCCGCATAGCGCTCACAGGCCAGACGTTTCTCCTGCGGGGCAGAGAGGAGCAGACCGACTCACTAAAGCTTTATTACAACATTCATAGGGTGTTCCCAGCCCATTCTAATCTAAAGAGGGCCACCAAGGGGTTTGCCAATTACATAGATTCATCCCAGTGGTTTTTAAATGAACATTCTGTTCATTAGTTCTCTTTTCTCAACATAAGCCAAAAGATCTAGAAGAGTTGTTGCTCTGCATTTTCTGAAAGGTTTCAGGCTGTGAGACACATAAGCACCTTGCTCAAGGATTTGAGGATTAACATTCCATGTCATTCATCTAATAGTGTCGCGATTACAGAAAGAATAAATAAAAACAATCACTTATTTGTAGCACAGACGCACACACAGACAGACGTACCGTGTTGAGAAACTGCAGCTCATTCCTCAGACAGCTGATCTCCTTGTGTAGATACTCGATCTCGTTTTCCTTCACCCTGAGAAGAACCTGGCAGAAACACAACACAACATAGTGCGGTTTGTCATTCGCTGCCGAAAAGAAACGACACAAACAAAACATAAATCTTTATAATTATCACTTAAGTCCAAGAAGAAAAAAAATCAATTGTGTTCTGGCCGATTTATGATGCATCCAGAGGCGTTCTCTGTCATTTACAACTTGGGCTTTCGGCCAATTACAGTTTGACGTGACATTCCGTTTGTGTTCTTAAAAAACCACACAACTAGTTTGGAAACAGGAAACAGTATAAATGAACTGCTACGCTTGTGCTCCTTCAGGTTTTGGGTGACATGTCAGTATCAGATGCTCCTCCAGAAGTCACCAGCGTCTCTCTGATTAAGTGTCCTCAAGCAAAACGTAGAACGTGCTTTTCAGTGCTATTGCTGAACATTAGAGGAACCCTGTCACTGTGACACAAACACCGCAGGTCATGCTCCACAAGGCGACATGATGCAACCTCCAGTGTTGCCTCATCTGTGACTTTTAGCCGATTGAAGCAGACTGCTTTCTTATCTTGCTCTCGGCTCTTCTGGTTGAATTTGTCCAGGTTTTGTGGGATATACTGATGAGACTTTCGCCCATAATGAAGTCAATTGGAATTTTATTTAGTAATGAAAGACTGATGAATAACATTTGGAAAAAAACCAGCTGGTATCAGTTATTGTTAAACAAAATAAATATCAGCATATTTTTCAGCTTTTTTTCTAAGTCTCTTAATGCAGTGGGTGATATTTTCACACTTGTGCACATCTGGTGCGTGTTGCTGTCAGTTCAGGAAGTTACAAATACACCCCCCCCTCATCTACTTTCAGTATATATATATATATACATACATACACACACACACACACACACACACACACATACAGTATATATAAGAGCCGTTACCTCTAGTTCACTGGGCGTCCTGTCTTTGCTGTTCTCTGAGCTCTGATATGTGACGGAGGATCGCGTACGACTGATCTCCGCCGCCAAACGGGCTTTTAAATCCTACGGAGGAAAAACACATTTTGTCTTCATGAGTGACGCTTCTCAAAAATCCTCTAAAGTTAGAACATTTATAAATCACACGGTCCATCAAAATGTCATGCTACATTTCAGAATTACACCACCGTTCATTCGAGATGGTTTATGACTTCAACATGCAAAGATCGCTCCGTCACTCAGTAATCGGCCGATAAACTCGCCTGGTTCTCCTTCCTCAGCTGCTCCATGTCTCTCTCCTTGCGGCTGATCTCCCTCTCTCTCTCTGCGCTGTTCTGCTCGGCTCGGTTCAGCTCCAGACACTTCTGAGAGTAGCGCTCAGACAGTCCGGCCAGCTCTCTTTGCGAGGCCTGAGTTTCCGCCCTGCAGGAGCGCAAAGATGAGTGAGCTGCAGAAAGAAGGACTAAAAACTGCCATGCTGCAGAATGTACGTCACATTACCTGCTTTCTCTTTGCTGTGAGAGCAGCAGAAACAAAACAAGAAACAATGATATGAATCCAAATGTATTGAACAAAGAGATTAGCTGCGGGGGGGGGAAACCTTTTCTTAAACATCATGCACTGAAGGTGGTAGCTCCTTTATTCTGCTCTGCTCTTACTGAATACCTCTTAAGTAAACTATAATATCATAATATAGAACTTATTACATTTAACAAGAGCAACATGCTGTGAAGAAGTACACGTTTTTTTCTTCCATTTTCAGGACCAAAGTATTTCCTACTGCGGTTTTAAAACATATTTACTGGCCATGACCGATAACCACAAAAATAAGGAAGAGCATGCAAAGAAGGAAGAGCATGCAAAGAAGGGGGAAAAAAAACGCAGAGTAAGCACATGTGTAAGCAGCACAGATAAGCCCTAAAATGCAGGTTCCAGTAGCAGCCGCTGAGACAGCGCCGTGTCAAAGGCCTCGTGACACTTTACAAAAAGAAAACCAATCCATGACCAAATCCTTCTGCATTCCTCAAGTGCCCAACAGGACCCAGTGTCCGCCGCGGTAATGGCCCCCGCGTAGACAGGGAGCCCTGGATTGTTGGTGCAGTCTGCAAATTCTACCTTTAATCTCAGTGAAAAACCTTTTTGTGGCCGGCTAACCCCCACTTAAAAGCACAAGAGAGCCATTCACACAAATGACCAGTGTTGCCTGCGCCGACTGAGACCGAGAGCAAGAATGTGTTTTCAAGGGAACATGAAGTACAAGTGTTCACGAGGCCGGGGCGTTTGCTTTACAAACTTTATATTCTTCTATTTCCCCATGCACGTAAATTATGTTTCATTTCTAGATTGCCACTTAAACAAATCTCAATCTTGTATTTTGCTTTATTTTAGTGTCTGGGTGTACATCTCTACCCCGCTGGCATCACACAGATTTGAAGGGACTTACTGCTGTTGGGCTCGTAAAGCCTGTGAATCTATCGCCCCGCTGCTCAGCCGCTTGACTCGCTCCACCTCTCTCTCCAGCTCGTCTTTGTGCTTCTTCTTCAAAGCCTCCATTACTGAAACACAAACCACAAAAAAAAGCGTGACACAACTTCTATGTGACGTCCCGGTGGCTGTTAACGGCACATGAAGGGACCCCCAGTTCGGACTACTTTTCTTTATCATATTAAACCCTTAAAGCCGCCTTCACAGATGTAAATGTAGGTCTCGAGACTCTTCTCTAGCCCCGTCCGGTCTGCTGACCTCGTGCCGTGTCCCGGGTCTCCTCCAGCAGCAGCCGGTCCTTCTCGGTCTCCAGCCCCTTGAGCTGGCGTTCGTGCTGCCTCTGCAGCTCCTCCATCGCCTGTCGATGAGCGCGCTCCATGGCCGCCAGGCTGCGGCCGCAGGGGGCCTCGGGGCCGCAGCCGCCCCTCACGCCTCCTCCTCCCCATCGCCCTCCCCTTCCCTGTAGTTGCTCCAGCTGCTGCCTCAGTGACGCCACCTGAGAAAAAGGATGAAGACGGAGGTAAAGCCCACTGAGCGACAGGGGTGGGGGGGAACGACACACAAATCTATTAATCGAATATCTTGTGATTAGCATGTTTACATGAGGGCACACACACATGCTGGTGTTGGCAGTAGGAATAATGCATTCATACTCACTGACTTGTACACAGCCACACTGCCAACACACACTCTACACATGATCACTGGCAGAACCACAGTGCATCAGCTTAAGCTTCTCTCAGGGCGGACTAATGATGCCAGCTCTCTCTCTCTGGCTCCACTGCTACATTGGGCATCGAACACCTCTTGGATTTTATAGTTCTTGGAGCTCAAAGTTGAAATTCACAGCTGACCTTTCAAATCCTGATTAGATTATTGCTACAGAAGAAGCTTAAATACAAAGGAAGCATTCAGCTTTCAATACAATAGCGTCATTAAAGAATGAATGCATATAGGCTTCTCTTTAGCATGCATTGAACAGCTCCCGCAGCTGTCTGCGCATCATGTGTAGAGAGATGGCAAACAGATCCAAACCAAAGAAGCACATCACACAAACACAGAGACAGAACAGACAGGAGTTCCAGCAGCGCTTCCCATCACTGCATCTGCATATTTTAGATGGAAAACGCTGCTGAAGAGCAGGTCAGAAGAACAGCGTTAGCAGGCAGAAAGAGGAAACGTTAACTTCATCCGGACAGATGAGGTCATTTGCATTTTATGCAATTTGCAAATTGGAAAATCATCTCCACGCACTACCTCCCTCTGCAGCGCCTCGTTGGCTGACTGGCTGGAGGGCCGCGATCCCATCGGCGGCAAGGAGCTCATCTCCTTTAGCGGCATGCGCTCGAACTCGGCCCACTTCCCCTCGATCTCGTCCTCCGAGCGCGGCCTCTGGTTCGATCCCCCGCCGGTGCCCTTCCTGGACAGCACGGCCTCCCACTGGCTGCTCGTGTTCCTCTCCTCCTGCCACTGGCCGTGCTCCCTGCCCTGCCCCTCGGCCGCTTCTCTCTGACCGGCTGACGAGGCGGGAACCGGGGACAGCTCCACATAGTCGAACCTGCGATGAGCGGGGGTCGAGACCTCGGACTGAACGACGTCGGCGTGACGCGATGATGGCCGACGGGAAGACGGCAGGAAGCGAGAGTGGGAGTTTTCCTTGTCGCTGCTGCCGTCAGGTAATCTAGAGAGGGTTCGAGACAAAGACATAAATCATAAACCAAGGCATTTAATCCTATTTTAGTCAAAAAGTAAGTAAGTAATCCCAAATTCAGTAAGGCTGATGAAATAAGTAAATCAGCAGCATACAAAGCTTCAACATGATCAGTCAAGGCCCAGCTGGGGGTGAGTCACTGTGAAAACAGAACACATCGGTGCTCCCAGAAACTCATGAAACGTTGATTCATCTTCTCCAGGAAAAGTGTTCAGTGACTGCAGGTGCAAGTGAGCAACAGAGCCTCTTATCTGACTGTATTTAGCCACGGCTGAGCTGCAGCAAGACCTCCAATGAGCAATACTAGAATGCTGAGGCAACAATCTTAAAATAATAGGAGAATTAAGAAAAAGTACTGCAAAAACAACTTGGAGTGTTGAAGCATAAAACATCCTGAGAAGCTGCTTTTTTAGGGCATGAAGTTGCAAGCTACAGTTAACAGATAAAAAACAACAACTTAATAACCATTTTTAAATGTCAGAAATAGTGACAAATGCCCCTCACAAGCTAGAGTGATGTTTCAACATATCGAAGTGAAAGTAAAGCGAGGGAGCTACTTTGGGTATAAAACATCTCTTTGCTCTACAGAGAGCCACCACTAACGCGTCTCTCTCCACGATTAAATAAAACAATAAACTACAACATAAAGGAAGCTGTGAAACAGAACTAGCCAACTTTGCTACATTTAATTTGGCCAACTGTTGATCAAACCAAGTTATCTTTGGGTCCTCGATATTAAAAAATGTGATTGGTAGAAGTGACACAATTGCTCACTCAGCCGGACCAACGGCCAAAAAACCCAGAACCAAGATTGATATAGATATGTAATTGACAGAATCAGTTATGAAAATGTAATTAATTCATTGTCTGTCAATAAACTAACACTACCAATGAGGGCAGAGCTGACTGCTTTGTAACTTACATTGCCAGGTGTGAAATGATATATTTCTTAATTTTAGCCTGAGCAAAATCTGAATTGATCCAACTTTCAATTTTAGGCAAATCATTATTTTTACCTTGGACTATCTCCCCTCCTTAAAGTCGCTTGTATTTACACTTACTGCGTGAGGTCCGGAGAACTGCTGGGCCGGATGCACTTCTTTAAAACCTCTATCCAGTTCCGCCTGATCCCGGCTGTCATGGCGGACAGGGTGTGCGCAGCCTCCCGCGTCTGAAGACAAAATCACAAAAGAGAGAAAACAGGTGAAGGAGACACAAAGACGTGACAGAACTGGGATGAGATGGAGAGAGAGCGAGAGACACAGAGAGGAGATACCGACGTGAGATGTGAGCCATGATAACGGAACAACAAGAAAAACGCAGCAGAAACTGAGAGCGGTGGGCGTGGTTTTGGCTGATGAGGAGGACAAGAAGTGAAGAATATAAAGAAGACAATCAGTCACACACACACACACACACACACACACACACACACACACACACACACTGAGAGACTGACCCGTAACAGAGACACTCACCTGTACCTGAAACCCATAGTTCTTCTCCACATCGAACTCGCACACCTTCACACAGGATTTTAGGTCAATCTCTCCGTCCAAGTCATCTTTCTATACAGAGAACACAGACACAATTACACATTATTAGGATTGTTACAAAATGTCATATTAACAACAAACATGTCTAATAAAAAATATTTATACATATATATATTATATATATATATGACATACACATACCTCCTCTGCACTAGAGTCTCTGTAGTACTTCAGTCCAGCATCAGTCAAAACAAACCAATGCTTCTTCCACTAAAGAAAAAGCAGATCTCAATTAATCCCAAGACTGACCTGAAATCAGCAACTCTTAGGTTCAAACGTGAGAGGACGGCGTCGTATCAAAACAGCAGGCCTGCGGGATGGGATGTGTGACTAGAGAGAAGCTCATTCACATCATTCAAAGAGAGGAGACACCGGCTGTGCCTCAAGCCACCGCTGTGATAACGGGGATAATCTGCCGCTATCGCCTTACGCACAACCTTTCTAATTAGGGAGGAGGGGAAGAAAAGAAGAGATGGGGGGGGGGGGGGGGGTGAAGATGGAGAGGGAGGAAGACACGACGTCTGCGCCTTACTTACGTCGCCACTCTCGTCCAGTTTGGACATCCATCCCTTCTTGAAGTTCAGGAGGTCGGGCTGCGAGGCAAAGAGCACACACAGTCACTGACCTTCACACGAGTGCTCTGGCAGAAATGTTACAAATACAACAGTTGAAGGACGGACGAAAATGAAAGAACAGAAAGAAACGAAACAAAACAACAGGACAAACACCACTTCAAGCTGTATGGAAGGGTGGGTCATTCTCAATATAATTATATTTCTATGCAAGCAATTAGCAGCTCCCACAATGCCGCGGCGTTTATTCCATCATTGTACAAGAAGACAACGATACAATGCTGCCGACTTACTTTGCCACAAAGAGAATAAACCAGTTTCTATCGTGCTTTTCTTAACGTGCATGTTGAAACGGGTACGGTTGGTTTCTTTATATTTTTTTTATCCAAAATTTTTCCCAGAATGCATGAATACATCACTAAATGATCTACTTCTTTCAATGATACTATACGCACTGAAATCATTCAACAAAGCCTTTTGATTGTTAACAGCATCTCAACAACATGTTTACGTCACAGGTTGCTGCTCTGTTGCACTGCAGAATACAACATACATGAAAAAAAGGGGCAATGGTTGCATTAAAAAGACACATATGGGAGGTGAACAAACAAGTGTGTGTGTGTGTACAGGAATTGGACACACAAAGATGAGGAACTGGAGCAGCACGTCATCGGGAAACTCATGAAACTCGCAGTGGTACAGTAACTTTGATGTTCATAACTCAGCATTGTTGCACGTCTCTCTTGCTCCAGCTGGGCGGTACAATATGTCCAGGAACAGGCCTGTCATTGCGTTGACAGGAAGAGGGGAAACGTGCGTGAGGTACCTCAAGATGTGGTGATCCCAGATTAGAATTAGCCAACGTTTTCCACCGCACATTCCTCACTTTGCTTATCTCTCTCTCTAGCATTTACATTCCACGCATTTAAATCTCTCTCTGCGTTCGTCATCTCATCTCCATTGCTTCCCCCTCTCCACTGCAGATACTTCATTCATTTTACTCCCTTGCTGCATCGTTTTGCTCAGCTCCCTCTCTGTTCGCACTCTTAAAGTAGTTTCTCCGTCTGTGCCGTCGTCTCCAACCACCCCTCTTCTGTATATATTTTCCCTTCCTGGCGTCAGTTGTGCTCTTGTAGGCCACAGTACCACCCAGTTTTCCCCCTGAGCCAGTTCATCTATGCTAATAGCGGGATCATCTGGTGCCGGCTATAAACACACAATAGGAAGCTTCTTTTATTGTTGCATCATATAAAGATCCCCACTGACACTACTAGACCACTGGAGCAGGCTGTGGTGTGTCACACTGCATCGTGATCTTATGTCATCTAGTCAACACATGCCCATGTGCGAGGTCAAGGAGCGGCCACAGGAATAAAGGGATCTGATATGATGCCACAGTGCTTCTCCTGGCCGTGTGCATCTAAGGTCAGCTTGAGACAACGTCCATTCTTCCTGACTCCTGTCCTCCATCACTACAGAAGAGTATTGTCTGGTGAGCCTCGTCCTGTAAGCCTCATACAGACCGTGTGCTTCTCTTCTTCACTGGTTTCTGTCCAGTTAAATGGATTACCTCTCTGAACAGTGGAGAGAGGAGTAGAGCCTCATGTATGCACTCATTGTGATGGCAGCGCCTGCATTACCATGGTTTAGAGAAACAATACCTCTGAGTAACTTCATTTTATTTTTTTACTTATTTTTCTTTGCGGCCATGTGTCACAGCTGGCTGTATGGACGGACACACACAGTACAAGCTACTGGCTAATGACACTTCCTGCTACTGTAAACAACAACAACAACAACAACACACGGAAACCAGCATTATAGTTTAAGACGTGTCACAGGAACAGAAATGTACAAATTATATATATATATATATATATATATATATACTCACTTGGGATACATTTCATTTTTAAGCTAGCGTAAGTTGGAGGCATGTCTGCTCCACGTATCGTTAGCTGTAACGTGCACACGCCTCGAGTCAAACAAATGCTCACCATAAACCATTAAAAACTAGTTATCTAAGTTATCTATGTTATCTAACTTACATTAGTCTTTCTTACCAAATAAAACACAAATAAAGTGAGATACGTGAATGCTAGCTTTTGGGCCAGAGCTCATTTAAAACAACACATTGTAACGTTTAACTATGTGCACGTCTACATTCAGGAAGGAGTGACAGGAAAAACACAAGAGCTCTCAATGTGCAACTTACCGTCATGATAACAGGATCCAGAGGGTAAAATAAAGACAAAAGAAAAGTACCGTTACCTCGCCCTCCTCGCCCTCAAGTCCACTACTCAGTTTAGCTAAACCTCACGGGGGGGGAAACCCTGACTTTCTCCGAGGACGCTGACGTTACGCGAAAGGAGATAAAACCCCGCCATTCATACCCATGTTAACTTAATCAGAGGAGCCGCCGACGTCCACAGCGTGTCTCTCTACAGTCCGAAGAAAACACGGAGACACTAGTCTGCGCTTAAAAGTAGTAATCTAGCTAACGTTAGACTTCTGCCTCGGCTGTGTCTTTGCTCGCTGCCTCTACCTCCCCCGCTCTCTCTCTCTCTCTCTCCACCTCCCTCTTTTTTTCTCTCTCTCTCTCTCCACCTCCCTCTTTTTTTTTCTCTCTCTCTCTCCACCTCCCTCTTTTTTTTTCTCTCTCTCTCTCTCTCTTTCTGCTCTGTCTGCCACTTCCTGGGCGGATCCGCGAAGATCGTTTGCGAAAAACAAGCCTACCCCACCTAACCGCACGGTGCCGGGCTCTAAACCCGGTGTCCGGGGACCTCCAGCGGGCTGAAGGGGATCCCCGGCAGCACGAGGACTACTATAGCTCCGGCTAATCGCCCCCACAGCAGGTTATCATAAGAGGAAAACGTGTAAAACGGACTGTTTAATATACGAGGTGTCACTCCCTCCCTCTCCTCGGGGAACCAGACTTCTGTAAAATCCTGTGGGTCCTTGACATGGAGAAGATTGATGATCCAAACATACAGAACTAACTCACTTTCCTGACTAAAAAATCTTTTGGGGATCGCGAATAAAGTGCCCCCCTCCTCCCCTCCACAAATCCTCTCTTGGTAGCTATTGGTTTCAGTTGAGGAATTTCAACACATGCCCCGGCAGACCACAATTGACAAAGCTCAGTCAGTCTTATGAAATGCCTGCAGGGTGTAGGTGAAGTCTATGGATACACAGCAACCAGCGCTTATGAGTTAAAACAGTAGATAAACCGCAGATAGGCCAGCAGGTTAAGGTGCCAAGTACATAAAATTCTTTGCAGTTATAGACAGGATCTGTGTGGACACTAAACAAGCTGCCAGCATGTCTGGTAAATATGTAACATAGAGATACCATATATTCAAATAAGACTGAAGGGCAATAAACTATAAACACGTGTGCTACAGGTTTATTATGTTCATCACAAACATTTGGTGATAGGAAAACCAACAGTAACGTCAGCCTATACGGCGCAGAGGGAGAGAGGTTGTTTCTACGTACCCACACATTTACTGTAAACACACCGGCCGTATCACATACCTGCATTTCTTCTGCTCGGTGGTGGTTACCTTTCCAAGAACTGCCCTCGTCTGCTGCGGGACTGCCAGACCTCTGGAGAGGAACGGCTTGTAGTTATGAAGGTAATCAATGTCCGACTGAGCAAACATAGGAACCTCTGGAGTTTCACATCCACAGACTTTTTTTTAATATGTGGTGTATGGTATGTGGACAATGTGGTTAAGCATTAACATATTATGAAGGTGAAAGCCACAGAGCTGCAATTCCACTGCAATGGGTTATATTGTGCAGGGTTTTGTGCGCTGTGAGGTTGTAACGCTCAACACTCAGCCCTCGTTCTCTATATTGTTGCAGCTCTCTCTCTCTGCTTATGACATTTAAAAACAAACAATAAGACTCACAGTTAGTGTATTGCCAGTTTTGCGAAATGTAATATTCCCCCAGTAATGTTTAGTATTATCAAGGTTACTCTAATAAAACACGGTTTAAGACCATCCTTCATCAAGACTCCCCTTCGCCCCAACCAGCCTACCTGCAATGAGGTGGAGGAGTGAGCTCGAGACAGATGCCCACTGCCACCGTAGTGCCAGTCTCTCTCAGTGTCCCCTGTGTCTTCCCACTCTCTGGAGGGATGCTTGCTCAGGGAGTGGCTGAAACAGCACAAACAGGTCATCGGTGTGTCTGATTTGGTCAAATGTATTCAATCTAATGGAGTCATCTAGAGTTTGCGACGGACACCATTAAATACCACAAAAAATACACCTAACACAATGGGCCTCATGCAGGAATTTCCTCACATTTTTGTTCCTTGTATTTTACGTCTTCTTACAGCCTTTTTTTGGTGGCATTTCTCTAATTATTGGGCATGTGCCAGAGCACACCGCACAACATCTGCCCTTTTATAGGGTTTAGGGGAGTTACCTATGCTAATAATAAAACATTGGCCCCAAGCCTCCAATTTATGATTCCTCCTTCAGCACAGCTGGGAGTGGTTAACTTCTCTTGTTTTTTCTCTTAACAGGGAATTAAGAGAAATGTAAGAATTGTTGAAATGTTGCTGCATGTGGCCCAATGTAATGACAACGAACATGCATTTAAATATGTTGCCAGCATCACTCCTTCCGTTCTCTGTGGTGTAATGCAGGTCTGACCTGGCTGGTTTAAAGAGCTCCTGTCTCCGAGAAGGCTGCTGGTTCTGAGGCCGACCCATGTGGCCCGGCTTTTCTCTCTGATGGATCATTTTGACCTTCGGCACGTCGGCCAACATGGCATACTCCTCCCTGTTCCGCCCTGTAGACCCCACCGACAGTGGACCCGACTCCGAGGACTCCATGGAGCTCTGGGAGGAGGTGTGCTTCCTCAGTTGAATCTGAGGTGAAGGAGAAGGGCTCCGTGCGCGGTGGGAGGGCCTCCTGTCATTCGGGGAGGGGCAACAATCGACATGGCCGTGTCTTCCAACCCCAGACCTGATGCTGCCAGGGTTCCTCGGTGTGTCCAAGGTGACGAAAGCTGTTCTGCGGCCATTCGTGGTCTGTCTGGAGGGTGAAGCAGCGCGAGACAACGAGGAGCTGCGGTGGGAATGTGTCGACTCCCACCAGGAGCGTGGTGAGTGATTGGAGTCAGATTTTGTGTCATGGTGTGTGTTTTTTGTCTGAGAGGTATGGCTGGAATCTCCGTTAGTGGCCAGTCTGAGGATTGAGTAGCCTGGCAGGTCGCTGTTACCTTTTCTAGCGGGAGACGAGTTGCGGCTGTTGTGGTTCTTGCTGTTCAGGGAGGAGCTAGTTTCTGCTTTCCTCAGTGAGCGCTGGTCAGGAGCATCATAGCTTTTCCTTGAGGGCAACAGACTTTGGCTCTCACAACTTCTGACAGAACTGTTTGCTTCAGACTTGCGCAGCAGGGACTGAGAAGGAGCTTCGTAGCTTCTCCTCGAAGGGGAGGAGGTGCGACTCTCACGACCACGGCTGTGTGAAGAACCACTGGTGTCTGTTTTCCTAAGCTGATACTGAGTAGGGGTTTCATTGCCTCTCCTTCCCGGAGAGGAACAACGGCTGCCACGACTGCCACCGACGGCGCTTGATTCGGTCTTGCGGAGTACAGACGGACTTGTGTCGTAACCTCGTCTGGATGCAGTCACGGTGGGGCTTTCATGTTCTTGGTCATTCAGTCCATTCTTAGCTGTTGGGCTTCGTAGCAGAGCCTGGCTTTCAACATCATAGCCCTCTCGTATGGGGGAGCCACAGCGTCCGTGGTGACTACGTCCGCTTAGAGACAGATTTGATTCAGATTTACGAAGGGGGGATTGGCTAGACGCCCTGTAATTTCTGCTTGGCGGTGAGTATCTGTGACTGTCAGATGTTCTCCTAGATGGAGACGAGGTACGAGTGTCGCTCCGGTGTCCGTGAGATGAACTGCTGGTGATTTCCGTTTTGCGGAGAGACATTTGGCCTGAAGGGTTGTAGTCCCTCCTTGAGGGAGACGGGCTTCTGCTGTCACGACCTCGACCACTCAAAGACCCGCTTACTTCCGTTCTCCTCAAGGCACTCCTAAAATCAGAAACCGTGCTGGTCTGGGATTTGACCGAACCAGCAAATGGTTTAAAGTTTCTTGGCAGAGTTCCTGAATCGACACGTCGCCCGTGAGTGCCTGGCGAGGCGTTTCTGGATCCCGGCTCCGTCCCTTGAGACCACCCTCCACCATCAAAGTTATGCTTGTTGAAGGCAGCGGTGGACTCACTACGTCTGAACGGTAAGTTTCCACGTGAGGGAGAAGAGGAACGAGATGGCAGAGCTGAGCCTGGCCTCCAGGACTCAAAGCGTCCTGACTGATGATTGGTAGAGACGCCAGAGGAAGGGTTTCCCCGACCGTAGGAACTGCTGAAAACTTTTCGCCCCGTTGAGGCCAGCGACTCGGCTATCTTAAAAGGAGTAGGACTCGGAGAGCGGGGGCCGACCCGGGCCTCAACCTCAACGGCAATTTCATAGTGGTCGGGAGGCAGCATTTCCAAAGGCAGGTCATCATTTAGACCCTCCGGCGTTTGCCTTTCCGAGGCCACGCCGAGATTAGGGTTTCTGAAGGGGATGGTGTCTTTGGGCTCTACGCCTCTGCTGCCGAAGATAGGATGTCCTCTCTCAAAATGGCGGAATGGAGCAGGCGGCCTGCTATCATGGACTGAGCGGACACCTGCTGTCCTCCCCAGGGAGAAGTACCCGCTTTCACGCTTCTGTGCGTCTTCTTTTAACCCTGCAAGAAAAGAGAGAAGTTGCTCAGTGTGACAGAAATAGAACGAAGGAGGGGTAAGATAAATAAGAGATCATCAAAGATCAACCACTGAGCTACTGCTATACTATTGTATTACTGATGATTGCTCCGGGACACCTCAGCTGGTGACATCAAACAGTATTGCCAAGTAAAGAACACCTTTGGCTGTAACTGGATATGGGTTGGTCAAGTGCTGTCAGTCATAGGTTGACTGAAGGCCCGGACATGTGTTCAAATAAGAGATACTGAGGTACATTCCTTCTTCCAATGCTTCTATTATGCCATGCATACAACTCTTATCAATGCATCCCTTCCGCCAGGAAATCAATGAAGCATTTGACAAACGTCACAATATGCCAGCTCAGCTTTCATGTACCCGATTGACCGCTGAACTTGTCTCTGCTCCGAGCTTCGTCCATCCAGGCGCGAGGGCTCGGCCGGTGGGGTGGAGGGTCCAGCCGGGTCATGGCGAGCCTGGTCGAACGCCGACGGACCGGCAGGTACTCGTCCTCTGCACTGACGGAGCCGCTGAACTCTTGGTAGTCACCGTGGTCGCGACAGCTGCGTGGAAGACGAGATGGGAGACGGATGACGAGAGTAGAGGCGGAAAGACGAGAGGTCGGGAGGAGGGGAGAAAAGTACGAGGCAAAAGGAGGAAGAGAGAGAACAATTCAATCAGTATACCATGAATTTCATAGATTGCGTCACGCAAAATCAATGTTTAAGGTTAGAAAACATGGAACAGTATACATTAAAGTCTACAATTCCACTTTCTGGCTCTCCTAAAAGACTTTTTATCACCGCCCCGTGCTGTCCTACCTGTCGGTGCTGTCGTCGTCGTCGCAGTCACAGATATAAAGCTCACAGTCGGGGCTCAGGATGCACAAAGAGCTCTCTCCATAACCCAGACGGCCTCCGTTGACATCACAGTAGCTGCTCACCACCGACAGACCGTCAGAGTCCTCCTGATAGGATGACAGGGTAGGAAACGGACCAATCACAAGGCCTCAGCAAAACTCCCTCTCTCTCTTTGAGTGACAGAGGGAAGAGGCGCCGATGTTGCTCTCCTAGATCTGTCTCTCCGGCTCCATCTCCTTCAGTAGAGAGTTAGCCGAATAGTGTCCGTCCCATCTGTCCTCTCTGACACACACTCGCATGTTCAGTCTGCTGTTCGATTAGGGTTACACCTCTGTAACTCGACCTGGCTCGTGGCTTTCCTCATTAATATTTCACCGTTTTTTTTTTTTCTTCTTCTTGCCATAAAGCCTCTAAGACTTAAGATGTCTTAAAAAAGGATCCAAAACTGTGACTTCACTGTCTGTAAATGTCAAAAACTGGCATCCATCCCTGCAACCTCCAGGGATCTACAGGTGGGCTGTTACATTGGAAGCTGAACTGGTACAACTCATGATCCGCTGTGTGTTTAAATACGTTACTGTAACCAGATAACGGTGGTTGTGAAATGGGAGCAGGATAAACAGAAAAAGAGTGTTCCCAGTTTTCATACTTTATAGAAACATGCCCTTCTTTCTGTGTGTGGCCCCTCCGTCTAATATAACAAGTGATTCCCAAGAGGGCAGTAAGTGATCCAGCTTCGTTAATTTATAATAGGAGCCGCTGCTTCCACCCTGCTCCTCGTCAGTGCCTCTCATTCTCCGTCTCTGACCTTTTCTTGATCTACTCAAAAGCAACAAAGACTCACACATGATCTCGCGAGCTGTGTTCATGCGTGTGGGCCGTGCTAAATTAGGCGGGCGCTTGATTTCTATACAAACCCAGAGAAACACCGACTTTTGGATCAAGTGAGAAGTTGTGAAACTGATTATGTTCCATTCTAAATGATATCATGAAACTTTGTGCGTCATTTCTGATCTGCAAGTTAAATTTGAGTGAGCTTCTCCTTGACTTAGCATACGTCAGTGACACTTAGCATACGTCAGTGACACTTAGCATACGTCAGTGTCAAACTACTTCACTTGTGACTTCTAATGCTCTCATCTTTCTCCAGCTCATCCCATCACTCAGCACATATTCTACTCGTGTTCCCACCTCTATCCCCCCGTTACCTAGCTACTGTGTTCATCTCCCTCCCTCTTCCTCTCTTCTTTCTTACCTTGCTGCTGGTGTCTCTTTCCTCTGCCTGCGATGGGATCGGCGTTAACGGCAGACCTTTGCCTGATCCGATCCCAGTGTCGGTCTCAGCTTTAGCCCCAATTCCAGCCTCTGCTGTGGACTTCTGCTGTGGCGGTGCTGCCTCTGCGCTGTCCCCCGCGCCGGCGTGCAGGCGCCTCTGACGCAGGCATTCGTGGCAGCGGGAGGGGTCGAAGATGTTGGGCTGGAACTTGGGGCAGATGGGCTCATCGCCAGAGAGGGGCATGGTGAGGCCGGAGGGGGAACCTGCGCAGTCATCGCATCCCTCGGAGAAAACTGGGAGACAGCAGCAAAGGGGTCAAGGAGGAACATCACAATGATATAAAGCAAATAGTAGCAACTATGCGTAGAAATTAAAGACTTCTGTGTGCGACTTATACATTAGAAATGTGTTGCACCTATTAAACCACTTTAAAAAAGTATAGCAGTGTTATGTGCTGATGCAAAATACATCAGAGCATTTCACAGCATTCTCCACAACATGGAATAAGAAGGGTAAAATAAGACTGACAGTTTTGAGAATAAAAGCACCCTGTCTGCTGGTAAGCCTGTCTGTGACACCACATTACAGAGACATGTGTAAACACAGAGCAGCAGCTCTGAGTGAATACTAAAGAGGATCTTTTACTTCAAGGTTCATGGAAGATCCAAAGCAGAAGTGTTTCGGTAGGTGATGACTAATCACACTAAGAGATAATGAAACACAACACACCCAGACTGTCAAAGCTCCCCACAGAGTAGCATCACTACCAACCACTAAGCACATGCTCTGTGATCTGCCTTCATCTACAAGCTGCATGGCCTCTGTACATTAAATGAATCAATTAAGATCAAGAGTTTAAATAATAACTATTAAAAATTGTAACGCTAGATATAGAAATTATAAGATGAGCATTACCTGACGAGAGAGGCTCCCGCTGTCAGCTCCACTTTGAGTATGTCATAAAGAGTCGGAGGATAAGCTGCCCATCAGACCCCCCCATCAGGCACATGCGTCTTCTTCCCGCATGCTCTCCGTCCTCCCGAGCTGCCAAACCCTCAAATCCATCCGATTGGCTGCTCCGACAATGAGTGAAACTGAAGCAACCATGACGGCCATGGTGGCTCTCAGTTAACACAGCGGTGGCCCTGAAGCACACGCGGACCCAGAGCCAACATGGAGGCGGTGGCCCGCCGGTCTCCCTATTGTGCGGTTGTATTAAATATCACGGGCTTTAGAAAGCGAAATGAAACGCTCATGCTAGGGACAGCTGGCACACGCTGGCTCAGGTTAACGTAAATAAATAAACACTGGTGAGGTGTAGGTTCAACATACATTCAAACTACTGGCTGTGTGGGATAAGGTTCTCGATTAAGGAGCACGCTGTAAGACACACAGTGGTTGGTTCTCCTTTAGATCTCTCTCTCTCACTCTCTCTCTCACACACACACCCACACACACACACACACACAGGTGATACTGAGCTATGAGGAAACAGAGCGAAGGGTTGATTTCCTGATGTTCTGGAGAGGATGTTGACGACAGCGTCAGCCTTCCTATTAAACAATAGCAAGAAAAGAATTCCACACCGACAGCTTGAGAGATGTGGCTGTATCACAAAGTCACTTCTTAGCAAGATTTATGTTTTATTTAATGAAAATTAAAGTAAATACACTTCAGTTTGTATACGATTAAGCAATAAACACTACAAAAAACAGTTTGAGCACAAGTTGTTTTTAAGAGGCAGGTACACTGGAAATACTGAGATAGACGGTCCAACACGATGCGGACAGAGCGTCCACATCAGCTTGAGTTTATTTTACACTCGCAGCGTATACACGTCTTGCTCAAACACTGGAGCGATGATGCACCTTTTTCCCAGTCAGTCGACGTCTCTGCCACTTGGTGGTCCTCCCGCCTCTACTTTTACTCTCTGTGGCGGTCTGTTTCTTGTCTGTCTGACGGCCGCCTCGGCCACCTCGGCCTTCCTGCTTCCCTTTCCTCTTCTTGCAGGTGAAACTGCTGAGGGACGACGTTAGGGAGCGGATCCTGTAGCAGCGGGGGAGAGACACAAAGAGAAATGCAGCTGGACTGAGAGGGGCTGGAGGAAGACGGGCAGACATCTGAAGACCGCCGCTACGTCACCACTGTATTGTACAGCGCATTTAGCAACAGTCACACTACCTGTCCATTCCTTAAAAGACCAGCTGATCAACCCTTTAGCCTGTAGATAATGTCAGAAACCAAAGTGATGTCTGGCCAAAAGCCAAAATACCTAAAGTATTCAAGTTGTCACAGGAAAAACTGGCAACACTTATGAGAATATGAAGAGACCTGCGTGATGAACAGCTTACTTTTTGTTCATGATTGGATTCCCGGATTTTCTAGGCATCGCAGCTGTTTCTTCCTGCTGTTCTTTCCCCTTCTCTTCGTCCTTGCACTCCCCGTTATCCTGGAAAGCAAAGATCCTCTTTGTTAATTAAATTAATTTGCCATCAGTTACATTCACATCAATCATACAGAGCTATAAGCAGTAAAACCGGCATAAGTTAGCCTGATGAAAAACACACATGAGATGACTCGGGATTTACTGTTTACCTGGTTTGCGGCGGGTCTGAGCAGGTGAGCCCCTGTGAGGTCAAGTTCACTGATGGTTGTGACGGTGACGGTGTGGTTGGGGTGATCGTACTGCACAGACTCCGTTGTAGCGGTTATCACATCTTCCAGATCGTCTTCAGCCTCCTCTGAGAGACGGGATCGAGTGAGGAAACAACAACAATAAGCAAAGAGTCTCAGCAGATCGATCAGCGATAAGACTTCTGCTTTTGAACTCACCGAGAGCGTCCGTCCTCTCCTTCAGCAGCCTTGTGTATTCCTTATGTCTCTGAAAGCAGACAGCCAGACATGCCATCAGTGCACTGTTTCCTTACGTGCTCCTGCCACCAAAAGAGATTTGAAGTCTGCGCTCTTTCACGTCACACTTACTTCTACTCGGACTCTGATCTGCTCTTCCTTGATTTTCTTTCGAATTTCTGCCACTGCTGCTTTCCTCCTTTCCACCTTTCTTTTATGGAAACCCGTTAGATAGTCCCTGCCAGAGCAGAAGAGGAAGCAGCTTGAGAACCCAGTCACCATTTCATTCTCTACCGGTTTGTCTCGCATTATGGATACATACAACAGCGATTATAATAGAATCAAACGTGGCTTGGTGCATTTTATTATAATGAAAACTCATATTTAGAAATCTAATTAACATCTTGGTCAGTAGAGGTTTTGAAGTTAATGTGTCAGCAACTAAATAAACTCATATGGAATGAATGATGGCTTAAAACAACACCACGATGCTTCAATAGTGTGTATTTCAAACTGTGTAGGCTGGTCGTAGGAATGTGACGAACGTTACTGAGCTTCCTATAACTCAGAATCATTAAGTTTTGTAAAAGCTATAACGTTAATGCACATGCCCCATAAACCTGGTGATATTTTACAGTATCTGCACTTGCTTGGTTTTATTATGTCATTAAAAAGTTACATATAAATAGCGTGGATAGAGTTGCAATGCTTTTCAAAGTAATACTTGGGAGAAAGCTAACTAATGCCAACCTGGAGTGCTAACCTCACTAAGGGCTAATGCTAAGATGCTAGCCAACACCTTCAATTTAAAGCACTGTCATCAGTCGAAGAACTTACTCTCTGTCCTTGTCGTCAAACGAAACGATGCATTTGTTTTCTCTTTTCTTGGACCCGGGCTTAAATTTACTCTTTTTGGACACATTGTGTTGTTTTATATTATTCTTCATATCGCACACGTGAGTTTACCCTGCAGTACTTCCGGCTTCTGGTATTGAGGAACTAGTCATGTAACTATGTCCGATTAGAAACACGTGGATAAAAGTCTGATAGGTTCCGCACGACACAAACATTTAGGTCAAAGTAATGATTTTGTTGGTTCAGACTGTACAGTTGCTGTAATCACATGTCACCTAGAATAAATACCCCGGTTCATAGAGTTTATGCTGCTGTTTAAATTTAAACTATTGATAGAATGATGTATTTGATATCAGGTCAACTTATCTTATTGAGATGTGAATGAAAATGAATTTGACGCTACTTCAAATTAGGTAACATGGTCTGTATTTCTGTTAATCATGATATGATGACTGCCTTTAGTCTTCATTCCTTCGCCCGTACATTTTATAATTAGCTACTTGTCCACTGTCCTGTCTCTTCTGACAACTTTAAAGCAATCCCTCCAAGTGGCAGGGACTCGTTATGTATCCAAAGCACGCCACCAGCAGCTGGAGTGTTTCATTTACACCGAGGTGTCCAGTGCTCATCACACAAAGAGTGTGTGTGAAAGAGGACACCAACAGACTTCACAGAGTTATCAGATCTACACTGGCGTTCACACCCAGCCAACACCCATGTTTAGATGAAACATGCTCTCTCATTTTCTTCTGTTTCACTGAATCCACGTCCAGCATGGTACCTCTAACACTGAAAGATCACATACACACCAAACACGGTCATGTGTTGTTTTATTACAAAACAAACATCGAAATGAAACACAGAAAGTCAGACAATAAAACACATCAAGGGGAAAGACAAAAAAAAAAAAAAAAAAAAAAAAACTATTGTAACATAATTATAATGATAGCAAAAAAACTCCAGCCCGCTGATGGCTGTGAGCACATTACTCTTTGCACACTTTTACCAGTCAGGACAGATAATCTACACCGATAAAAATATATTCAGGACTCTTTAGGTTGCTAACTTACACCTCGGGTTGACCTGGAAGACAGAGCTCTAATAGCATTCATGTGTGTTTGCCTGTATTTTAAAAACAGCAAAAAAAAAAAAGAGTGAGTCTAAAACATCAGGCTAATTGTTTAAATGCGGGTTTCGTTAAAAATCTTCCTATTAAAGATTCTGTGTCTGATCCTAGGATGCTGTTATCGATACAAAACAATAACAACGACATTACTGCCGATAAAAGCATTTATAGTAATATTACATTACCTTTAAATAAGAAACCCAGAGCACAGAAACAGGAATGACAGAAGTGCCTTCTCGTGTGTAAGTCAACAATTAGAAAAGAAAAAGCGAATTGGACAAAGATCTCTCAAAGATACAACTCCTCCATCATTTCACATGTGATGAAACATAATAAAATAATTCTTTACATCACGTCAAGGCCATTTTGCTTGAGAGCTTTACATCAAAAGGTGGACATCACTTCCAAAAAAATAACTTCACTTTTATCGCTGCGTTCGGCCTCTTTTTCACTCAGATATATATCCTCAAGTGATACGCCAGCCAGCATCTAGAGCTTCTGACGCTCGCCGCCTGTGGACTCGAAAGGCGGCGTACAAGGATGGTCTGCAGGCACTTTTAAGGATGTTTGGATGCTTTTTTTCCCCCCTGCTTTGAGGCCAAAACACGTGAGAGTTCGATAGTAAAAAGATGTTCGGTTGGAGTATCACTGTGAGGCAGCTGACCTCGCTCTCCCGGTCAGAGCTTCTGACAGGAAACCGTTACAACTTTGACATGATTACAGCTCTTTCTTGACCATGTGTGTCCTCTCAAGCAGAAGTACGGACTTCCCGTTTAATCTCCTCCTGTTTGTCTGCATATGTACAACCTATATACAATCACATTGTGAGTTTGAATGCAATTAATTTAATATTGAATATGTAGAAGCATCCGTGTGAGTGTGTGTCTGTGAAAAATCTTTTTTTCCCTGGTTCTTGTGTGACTGTCAAGCTCTGGCGGGTTTCTGTAGCTGCAAATCAAATTCCTAAAGCAACCTTACTGCTGCATCCTAAAGTCTAAAGAAAGCCGCTCAGCGAGGTTGTTATTAGAATGCCGCTGCACTGGATTGAAGCCTCACTTCAAACGGTCACTTGTTTCATATTCAGGATAACCGACGCGGTGCTTCAGCAATTTTGCTCCACAGTAGAATGTACAGTGTATGAGGTAGATAAGAAAGAGACACTACTCAGCGCTGCGTGTTTGAAAGCGAGCTAAATCTACCCGTCTGCATCCCACAGCACAGCCGTGCTCAACAGACTCTCGGCCGTCTACTCTCAAACACTCCCGACGCCCCTTAACCGAAGCGCCCAAGTCATTAGAGTCGTTGCAGCACGCACATCGCCGTGTTGCCAATAATGATCGTACAGCTCGGTATCCTACAGCCAATCGATGCGCTGCTGCATTGCGTTAATTTAAAACAGCTATTAGATAATGGTCCCTTTTCCCTTTGGGCCCCATTTAACCTGATTTTCCTTGTTGTGTAGCGTTTTGTTACAAGTGAGGCAGTAAGCCAGCATGGTACCCTTAACGGCCAGAAGGTGGCATGATTGTGCTGCAACAGTGAAACTAAGCATCAGAGAGGAGCTAATGTTAAGCCTGCAGTGTGGATACAGAGACAGTTCAAAATCAGCTGTCTGTGTGTGACAAAAGCAGGACAGAAAAGTCTTAAATGTTGTTGGTGGATGAGTAGCCTGGTTTATATCTTTGTATGTACGATGGTAAATTACGGAGTTTGTAGTATTGTGAGTAGCCCTAATGCGTGTGTGTGTGTGTGTGTGTTCAGGAGGCAGCGATGGTTGTGCCCCCGCTGAGACGCAGCACGATCTGCTGGCAGTCCTGCAGGGAGCGACGGTCTCCCACCCGCTCCAGGGTGCGCTTGGCCTCGGCCAGCAGGCGGGCGCGATGCCCGGGCGGGGTTAGCAGGGGCATGGGCAGGTGGCGGCAGGCCAGCAGGATGGCATGTGCCCGCTCCCTCTCACCCAGGACGCAGTCACCTTCGGACGGCAGCGGGGAGGGGGGGGTGAAGAAGAAAAGTGGAGGTTAGGGTCCATTGCCTTCTGGAGGGAGTGTGTGTGTTTCGAGTCATTTCGCCATTAATAGTTAACATTAAGAACGACCACAGGGGAACTCATCCTGAGCCGGCGGTCAAGGTGAACTTCCACTCGGAGTTTGAGTGCGACTACGATTCTGTAACCACGATGATGTCTGTACTTAAACCAATGAGCCTCTCTTACCGGCTGTGTAGGAGTTGTGTGTCCTGCGTCGGAGGTTGTGCTCCAACAGCTGGTGTGTCCTTGTGGGGCTGGCTCCAGCCATCAGCCTCACTGTGGTCTCATGGAGAAACACCTGCAGAATAAAAATAAATAAAAAAACACACAAACATCAGAGCAGAAACACAACACAGCAAACTACCCAGTGATACCTACAAGAAACCTTCTGCCGTTGATGTAAAGTGCCTCACACATCGAGTGGTCTCACACCAGAACCTCATGAAGCAATGCAGCTCATGTGGTCCTTAAGAGTCTCGCACGAGTCGAGACAGAACAAATGAGCAGCAGCCTCTGCGAGAGCAGGAGCTGTTGAAGACCCTCTGGCTCCAGTAATGGCTGCTCCAGTAAATCTTACAAGTATGATTGATGATATATTAAACTACTGGGAGATTTCTGCAGCTGGCAAGAAGCCGGAGAGAACTTGATTTCCAGGACTGATACAGTAAATGCAATATTATCCTGAACACGATTAGCAGGTCCCAGCTGATTTGTGGGAGTTACGATCAGTGCGGCGCAGAGCTTGTGTTAACTTGACATGCCGGCAACACATTGTGGGTATTATTACTTTGGAGAGTTGCCTGCTTATCAATGTTATATCATCATACATTGTTTTATTATCCTCCGTGAAAGCTAATTTAACAACTAATCTGATATCTTGGTTTGGGCATTTGTCCATATTTTTCCATGACAATAAATACGCGAGCAGTAAATTAACCAATAACATGAATATACTGCTTAATCTTGTTAATCTTGCCACGGTGTCGCAGGAAATACAGTTTGTAATGATACAGTAATGATGAATCCCTGGCGGCCAACGGGTGCGCTGTCGGTTTGTAACAATTTAGGCTTCAATGTTGTTTCTCATCTCATTCTGCACTTGTTTCTTGCAGATTACGACACTTTATATGATGTATACATATATAACGTACACAGTTATGAACTCTACTGACTGTAATCTCTTGCCGAATCCTGAACATTTCTGGTCTATTGAGGGACGTACCTTGTGTTGCGCCTGTCTGTAGCACTGCGTGAGCTTTCGGAGCGCGCTGAGGTCCCTCTGGAAACCAGCCAACTGGGATCCAGGGGCCGGGCCAGGTTCCCCATTACTGCTGCCTCCCCGCTGCCACAAACTGGTCCTCAAGGTAAGCAGCAGGTCACAGATCAGCAGCTCCACCCCCTTTGTGGAAGGGAAGGAAGACGAAAGGGTCAAAGTGCTGTTTATAAAACTACAACCGACCCCCATCATCACCAGCTCTTCTCAACCCAACGTGCACGCTTAAAACGAAAAGGTAACACCGTGACATTCAGTGCCGTCTCATGTTGAGTGGTGGGGTGTGTAGCGGGTGCGTGCAGATTGGGGAGGCCTCTGTACTGCACTGCAGACACATTGCACTCGGCTTTAAGGATCATGCAATGCAACTACAATGCACCACAGCCACCTCCATCCACCCACACACTCACACACACACACAGCCCCACGTCAGCCTGTCCCCAACTGAGCATGCAGTGTGCGTGTCTGCATCAGAGTCAAGACTGGTGTCTGTGACATGTGTGCGTGCAAGACAGCAGACAAGATCACGTAAACAAGCACTCTTAACCACAAACCCAGAGCAGGTCTGAAGGAAATGAAGGGCGCTGCGAGGGATGCTTTGTGCAATACCTTGTTCAGCCAGTTCCCGGTCTGGGCGACGGGCACCGAGATGCTGGAGCGCAGGTAGCCGCTGGCTCTGTCGCAGTGGGACAGGTAGGTTATCGCGCCCTCTCCCTTCAGAGGAGGCAGGCTCATCTGGACCGCCTTGCAAAGCAGCAGCACAGCTTTGGGCAGAGGGTGGCTGAAACAAGAGAAGCGAGAGGACAGTTAGCGTGGTTCCTTTACAACAGAGATTAATGTTTAACTGTCTTTATTATCATCCTTCAGTTGAGTCTATCTTAGATGTTTGTAATCTACACAAGTTAGAGAAGGTTTAAAGATGATCCAGTTATGACTTCCATGTCTATATTATCTGGATTATCTTGTCGGAGCTTAAAAGTTTTTTTCATATCTAAACCGACTGAAACAAGTTTTTTTACTTCACTTACTCAAGAGTGTGTAGAGCCCTCGGCATCCGCTCCGCTTCTGCCAACAGTGACCTCACGGCGACATCATCGCCCTGCAGCCAATGCACGGTGGCCTTCAGGACCAAAGCCCACCAACGACTCACTGGGTCTTTCACTGGCAGGAAGAAGAGAGGGAGATTATGTAGAAATAAAAAACAACACGGACAAACTAGCTCGAGTCTAAGAGCCTGAAAAGCTTTTTTCTTTTCAAGCTTTTGTCAAATGAGAGATGATGTGATGGTTAAGTCTCTGAGTCTCCAGCGGGATCGAAAGCTGTATGCGTGTGATGATATAAAATGTCTCAGTGTGAAAAAAAATCAATGAACGTTGTTGCTAATTAACGTCCTCTCAACAGATCGTCAATGTGTTCATAGCTATTGCAAGTCATTTATTACCACAAATCAATGACTGCAAGTGTTATCTGTGATAATCCGATAAAAAGTTAATCCCCAAAGCCAAAGCGGTCCTCAGTGTATGGTACAGAAAATCACTTCATGCTGACAGTAATAACTCTGATGGCTATCTGGTTAATACGCAGTAATGAGAAACAGAAATCGCTTCCCCCCCACGCAAACAATATTGATGTGATTCATGCTTTATCGTGATTGGACAGGCCTGTTCTCCTCATGCTATTCATACCTGGAGTGGTGGTGTGATTGGGAGGAGTCGAGAAGGGAGGAGGAGGGGACGGAGAGTCCTCCGTACAGCTGTTTAACAGCTGGAGGAACTCCAAGGCGCTGGAGAACTCCCTGAAAGAGACGCAGATCAGAGAAAAAGAACAGATCCGGGGGTTGAGCCATGAATTCGCATCAAACCGGTGGAAACGTCGCTGGTGCAGCCGGGCCTTACCCGGAGTCGCTGTTGTGTTTGCCCGCTTCAGAGTCGCTCTGCGGCTGGATGAGAGTGTGAACGGCTCTCTCCAAAAGCTTCCTGCAGAAGCAGCGGTGCAGCTGGGCGATGGGGTCAGCTGGGGGAAGATCAAGAGGGAAACAGAGAAATCATAGCATTCAGCATTTTGTTTAACAATAAATAAACAAAGAAACACAATATTCACTCAAGGTGCATGAAGCTCAAGACGCATGAAGCTCAAGACAATGCAACAATGATCTGTGAGCCAACACAGCTAATTTAGCCGACATGATTCGGTGTTAGATCCATCCATCTATCTTCAAATGACTACCAGGGCCCGTCTCAGATTTTAGTATCATCGCTGGAAATAAATAGCTGGAGTAATACTCGCAATTAAAGATGCAATTAAATAGTTTCATTTAAAAATATTATATTTCCTTCCTCTAGCGATAGGATTGAGACTTCTCTAAAGGAGCTAGATGTCCCCTAAAAAGCATGACGACTTGAGTTTATCTTGTGTTATAAAAGAAATTGTCCAAAATCTTTTTGGACTGTTTGTTTTGGATTTAAAATAAAAAAATTTAAATAAAAACAGCCAGAAAGATAAAGTGAAAGAACAAAAGAATGGCAGAAACACATAAGTATGAGGAGGCCTGTGTTTATGTCATACTCGGGTCTCTCTGAGAAGTGTACACCCCGTCGCTGCTCTCCGACTTCACCGACCAATCACAACTCAGGAAGAACTGCCTGCCCAACGGGGTGAAGAGCCAGCGCAGGCAGTCGGGGATCGGCTTGGTCTCCGACTGGTTGGCCACGCTCTCTGCGCAACTCAACAGGTAACCCTGGGAGACGAACACGGAAGAAAAGATGCTGATGATGGAGAGAAAACTCAAAACGAAGTAAACACCAGTTGAAACGGTAACAAGACAGGAGACAGACCACGTAAAGAAGACTCACAGGCAGACAGGAGAGGTGGTGGCCCAGCACGGTGCGCAGGGCTGTTGCTGCAGTGACGTAGATCTGGGTGAGCTGGGCGGGGGCCATCTTGCCTTGGGCGCTCTGGCTGAGGTTGACAGCGCTCAGAGACACGGATAAAGCCCACAGGCTGCTACGCTGAGGCAGCTTCCCTACAGAGAGAGAGAACAGAAACCGTGTCATCGTGTTTGAATCTTCATATTCATATCAGTCCTTAATCTAACCCGCGTGTGCCGACCTGCCTGTGCACAGCGTACACCGCTCACCTGTGAGCTGCAGCTGGCTCAGCCGGTGGTAAACCAATGCTGCATCCTTGGCGCTAGTCCTAGCCTCCTCCCCCTCGTGCTTCCCCCTAACCTGATGAACCAGCCAACCCAGAGGAGTGGGACGATGCAAGATGTAGCGAATGAGATTCCAGGACAGCGAGCAGACCAGGTCCAGAGTGGTTGAGGGAAGCAATCGGGTCAAGACGGACAAGCAGGTCTCTAAACTGGCCATTGCCGCCGTGTAATCGCCCTGCAGGAGAGAGGAAGGCAGGGAAAATGGTGAGCTCATCAGTATTCAGTGAAGAGTGATAGGAGAGAGGGGGGGGGGGCGATTTGAACATAAGCTAAAAATAAAGACTTGCAGGGAACAGGCAGGCTAAACTGAGACAAGAGAATCAAAGCTAATCAGACTGGGTGAAGCGATCTTCAGTTAGTGATGAATCATCACATTTAATTCTCAAAGCACATCCAAAACTGGATCCAATATATACACACTGTCACATGAAATGTAAGTAGGTTGGTCGTGTTTTCCTGTATTTGGAAATGCGACCACAGTCTCTCTTGGGAAGAAAATATTAGTAGCATTCCAAATGGGTTTGTTTGACACTTCTGACCTCTGACCCCAGGGCTCAGCTGTACTCACCCTGTTGAGGTGCAGGTCGGCTTGTTTGCGATGCCTCCAGAAGGACACAGATTTCGGCGAGTGAAGGGGCGTGACGGGCTCCCACAGGTAGAGCACCCTGACACAACCCCAGACCGCTCCCACCCCGCTCAGCACCCACACCATCACCCACGGCAGCAGGCACCGCAGCCAGGAAGCTGGAGGGCCAGAGGAGACGAGACACGTGGGACATTTTAGAATACTTCACAACCACGTAACCTGCCGCGTCTTTTTAATGCCATCACGACTCCGCCCTGCTCACCGAAGTCCTGCGTGTGAGTCGGGAACCAGACGAGCGTTCTAGACGGCCCGTGGCCCGCGGCTAGGCTGGGGCTCCCTGAGGCCTCGGAGCCCAACAAAGATGGCAGCGGGTTCAGGGACAGGCAGAAGAAGGTCAGGGCGCAGAGAAGCAGTCGAGAGCGATCCATCACTCCGACCGAGGAGGGAGAGTCTGGCTCAATCTTCATCTGAGAGACGTTAAGAGAGAGAACAGGTTTACAATCATCAATAACTACACGTTCAATCAAATCCTTCTCGCTGTGCGCTGGTGGAAAGCTTTAACTATACTACCATCCTACAGACTACGGTGTGCTACCTGCTCGTGATCCAGCAAGGGGCTGCCTGGCTCTGAGTCCACACAGTAGGGAGAGAACTGTTGAGGGGAACCAGAACCAGAGTCCGAGGCCGGAGGAGACATCATCACTACTTCCTCTTTCATGTCCACCTCTTCAGACAGAATCACTGTCTCTGAAATGGATGGAGCGGGGGATTAAATGAAATCTCAAGTTGCTACAGATCGTCATTGCTTAACGTAAACACTCACTGTTCTTCTGGTTGCCCATCTTAAGGGCCAAGTTCTCCTGCCGTAGCTTGTTGTTGACTTGCTGCAGGTATTTGATGTAGTCGATGGCCTTCTTCAGCACTCCTGACTTGTGCATCTGTGAAGACATGAGGGAGGGAATTTGAGGATCCAACTACTGTCAAGTGCATGACAAATCTGGGGTTGTATTTATTAATTCAAAAAAGGACTGTACCGGTGGGCTAACCTTCGCATCATTGCCCATGACCAGGTCCCTGAGCTCCACGATCTTGTCGTTGATGGAGGAGCGATACCTCTTCTCGATGATGTTGTGCGTCGTCCTCCTCTCGCCCTCCTTCACCACTCCTCCCGGGCCCATTACTCCTCCCATCATCTGGCCCTGATCCATGCTTGATCTGACCATATTAGTGCAGTGAGAGGAGCCCGGCTGCAGCTGCTTGATGGGCAGTTTGTCTCCTCCTCCCATCATCATGGGGACGGTGGTCAGGATGTTGCCGCTCATCAGCGTCTGGGGACGGAAGTGCGGTTGTTGTCAGTGTGGGAACCCGAAACACGACCATTATTAGCAACCAAATAGTGATATTTTCAGGACGGCTAAATACCGGGACTTGCAGAGCTGTGTTTTGCATGGGCGTAGTCAGGTGGGTGATCCCTGTGGGGCTCTGCATGGTGGACAGAACCTGCGTGCCGTCTGGTTTCAGTGTCGCGAGAACCAGCGAATCGGTCTTCAGAATCTGAGGCTGCTGGACAAGAACCTGATGGAAAGATGCCCCCTAAAGGTCAATGCGAAGTGTTTATGTTTGTTTACAAGTTGTTGAAAAGATCAAAACAAATCTGCAGAGCCTCTACTCATCTTTGCATTTACACCACAAACAAAGGAATTAGTGTACGAGCTATCCGGGTTTTGTTATCTGCCCGTTATTATCAGCTGATCGTCATTACACTGCCGTCTTACTCACAGGAACTTGCTGCATCTGCTGCATCTGCTGCTGCATGGTGTGGACTGTGGTCGGCGCTGCAGAGAGGGTCTGGATGGTCTGACAGGTTGGGGTCAGAACACGCTGGTGTTGAATGGTCATTGGCTGCAGCTGCGGTGACGTCATAATGCTCTGCATGTGTGGTTGGAGGACTGGGAATGGGAGACAAGAGGATGTGTTGATTTGACCGTCACATTCAAAAAAACACACTGCGGACCCCTGAGAATAAACCACATTAGGACAACAACATGTAACCTTTAAGAGAACGATGAATTGAATCAGTCTTAATGTCCTGAAAACTATCTCAAACGTTCGACAGATCGGCCTCCCGTTCCTCTCTTTAGTCACCTTGGAAGCTAGAACCGGGGCTCTGGTGGCAGATGACGGGGCTCTGGATGAAACGGGACTGTCCGCCGTTGGAGGCGATCATCACCGTTTGGGCTTGGGTCTGGATGGGCAGGCCCGTCTGGCTGTGGGTCTGAACCAGGGTGTGCACCGGAAAGCTTTGGGTCTGCATGGCGATCCCCTGGGTGTGCATCTGCATTTAAGCAAAAAAACAAACCGCATCCAGTTTCATCGCAACGTGCTGAAGATCGCTGAAGTTTTGATGCAACGTGAGACAGTTTCGCTTCTCTTTTTTTGATGTGCTAGCAAAAAGTTATTTCACTCAAGACAATAAACTATATCTGTCAGGCCGACTACAGTTTTGCTGAGACGTGCTTTGCTATTTGTGGGGATGCTGAGCTGGATATCATATTTTACGGTCTGTCAGTACTGTGAATTTCTTCTCCTGTCAGTAGAAGCTTTTGTTTTTAGTATGGATGGCACAATAGCAGACAATGAAATCACGGCAGGAGAGGCAGGCACCTTGGAAACAGCCTGATTCACAACTATAGCACTCGTCCATCACTGCAGCACTTATAATTCAGACCCAGGCAGAGATCCAAAACTTCACCTGGAATACTCTCAACACGCTACAGAACTTTGCATTAATTGAACTCATCCCTTGTATAATTAACAGCAGTATTACCACTAGTAATAAGGGAGTTATTACTCATGTCAAACACAAGATCTGAGCGTGAAAGTGGTGACAGCTGATACCTGGATGGTGGGCTGGGCCGTGTGTTGGACCACCTGAGGCCGCGGCTGGAGGAGCGGAGGGCTGCGGGTCACCAGTTGCTGCACCGTGGTGACGCTCACGGGGGAGGGAGTCTGTGCGGGGGTGAGGGGAGGGGTGAGCGGCATGGACACGGGAGACAGTGTCTGGGCGCCGATGAGGCCGACGACAGAGCCCTGGTAGACGGCGGGGGCTGGCGTCTTGGGGGTCGGAGGAGTCGGAGGGGTCTGGATGGCGGGGCGCGGAGCAGCGCTGGCGCTCTGCACGGGGCCCGCTGGGGTCATCTGATCCTCAAACAGGTCCGGGAAGTCCCCCACCTGGTTGCTGACAAACTGCAGCATCTCTGAGGAGACGGAGAGACAGAAGAGACTTTACAACGCGCCTAGTTAGAAATGAAACATAAAGCTTGTGGGAACAGCTCGGACTTTCATTCAGTGAAATAAAACATGATACAGCGCACGAGGAATATGTCAACATCTTAACAATTCTGTCATTTTAAATGTTTAAATACAACACAATAATAATAATAATAGACCTTTAAGCTCAGGTCACAGCCACACGCAATACTACAGTACCAAAAAGATAATAATCTTTATATCGCTTTCACAAGTGTCCTTGAAAAGATCTCTTTGATTTGATCATAAGGTGGTGAGGTTGCCCCACCGTCGACCTGGCCCACATGTGTGAATGCGGTTTACTGCTAACAGATAAGACCAGTAAAGGCCAGAGAACTGCGTGGACTGGCCTTGAGTTGGCACATGAACACACACAGAAAGAAGCTACTGTTCTTCTGTCCATAAAACCAGAGAAAAGGTTGCCCTGAAAGCTGAAAGGCCTTCACACGGATAGCCTTGAAAAGGTGGTCAGCAATCTCACTGATGGCCCCGAAAGAAACTGGCCTCAAGCAAACACCAATTATGATGAAAAACTAAGGATTTTCATCTGTTTATTTGAATAATAACATGCATGTATATCGCTTTTAAATGGAATTCCCCCCCAAAAATAAAACAACAAATAATGAAATGTATCACTATCACAGTATAAAGCTGTGTATACCGTGATCATTGGTTTCATTTTATTGGGTGTTAACTTTAATGTCCGCTCTGAGACAAAAGCAGATGGCCGAAGAAGACATTACTGTGGGAGACACCATGCTGCTCGCAGGACTTTGGTACTTCAACACGTTTGATAAATGCACAGGGTCCATATGGTGGAGGCTGCCACGGCTGATCCACATCACTGATAGCGCACATGGGCTCAGCCATCAGGGTCAATGAGGGGTCAATAAACAGAGTCTGCAGCCCTGAACTCAGTCTTACAGACAAACCCAACAGGACACGTTTTATGGACCGTTTCAGAGGAGACATGAAATCACTGACGGGGACCGTTCCTAATATTCTCAATGGGAAGATGTACGACACATGGACAATAGAGAGACATGATATCATAGAGCCAAGAGCTCTGAACAGCTGTTTGACGTTACAGTTCACATTAATTATGAGTTTGCCTTATTTAACATGTAGAAGATACTTCCAGTCACTGCTGCACGTTGTGACATTATAATGACATCATTAATTAGAGGCAAGGAGTGCCAGTCCTTAAGAACGTGTCGACACAAAATCATTCATGGAGCGGTGACGCATGCTTTCCAACGAGCTGAGAATGAAAGAAAAAAGAAGGTAATTCTGTCATCTCTGATGTCACTGTGATAGATTTGACCACAAACACTAAAGAACCAGGATACTCATCTCTCTCAGCAACAGAGGCCGACTTCCTGTCACCTCTGACCGTCTGTCATCACTTGCTGCATTTCGATACAGCGTATAAAACAATAAAGGTGTTTTTATCTGCTTACATAGCACTCTTTCTCAGCTGTTGTACAATTTCATGACTATAAAAATACGATTCGATGGTCACAAAATACCAACCGGAAGAGGCCGGCAGTTCCTCTGACGGCACTAATGGCTGTGAGAGGACGTTCTGTTGACACTGAGAGGTTAGCGAGAGGGTCGTAAACAGTGAGAGTACATCACCGATATTCATAACGGCAAAACTACAATAACGGTCCAGGTTGAAAATATGCAGAATCATCTTCCTAACAGCTGTAATGGGAAAATATGTCATAGTCTCATGTGAAGGTTTAAAGAATGTAAGTCCTAAAAGTGCAGACACCAAACAGTAGTTTCAGTAGATGACTTTAATTAGTTTAGTATCCAGGTGTCTTGTTATGTTATCTTGTACACCGTTTTCTTTCTTCGTAAGACGGAGACACAGAGAGACCTTGACTAACAGAGATCCTCTGTTTGAAATACTTTTACTTCCTTTATGATGCATTATCTGAAGTTGTAAAGGTGTAAACCTTTGCATGCATATATGATGTGTGAGGGTAAAGAATGTCTATTCTGTCTCTGCAATAGTCATTGTAACAATGTCACAATGGCCTAAAAGGAAGCATCTGCTGTGTGTTTAAACAGTTTATTGTAAGGCAAACTGTGAACAAAGGGATCTGCAAACAGGAGATGAAGCACCTTCATGTTGTCTTAAATGAAGTATACTAAGGCTCGAAGGATGACCTGCCTTTTTCTTCTTCTCCTTTGTGTATTCTTGTTAGCTAAGCAGATAACAGGAAGCTGTCGGAGCATAAATGTCCATGCATTGTGACTGATTAGGCAGACCACTCTTACAGATGACTGCAATGCGTCTGTGAGACTGTTCTGTTTTGCTTGCAAGCAAATAAATTGACTTTACAAACTTTGATCGTTCATCAAGACTCTGTTTATTTTACATTGATTGGAAACCTTCACTTTCTTCTCCCGACTAGTCATAAGAAATATTCCACAACACAGCCCTGATTGAGTGTAGGAGCTTTTACCAACCAGTCACATGGACATGCACACACACATCAACTAGGCAGACACACTAGTGCATGCACTTGTGCACCTCCATGGGGGGGGGGGGCAGACTGCCAATGACAGACAGGACAAAACAGCTCTGAGCCCCCCAAGGGCTTCAGACAAGCTTACACAAAGGGTAGATCCATCGGGGCGGGGGTGAATGCAGAGAAAATAGGTTATATAATCAGAGTTGCAGCTGCCAAGAGAATAATTGGGAGGGGAAGAATGTTGTAGATGAATATAGGGTCAACTGCATGAGCCCTCACAGGGGCCTCTAAGACCTCACACTCAATGAACATCTGAAGTAACCGCACTGAGAGAGCAATCGGACCCACCACTGAAGATCTCAACGAGGCCGGGATGATAAAAGCTGAACAATTCTCCCGCATATCATTAGGAAGATGGCGCCTATGATTTCAGGAACTAGGGTCAATGGTTTTCTGCAGTTCTGCCTGACGGGAAAAGTGAACTTATCGCTTAGCAGCGGGCCAAACAGCGTCAGAGTGAAAGAAGAAAAACTCAAGTGAGGGCCGTCTTTGTTGCAGCATGCCTGTGAATCCATCAGTCCACCCTCAAGTGTCATATTTATTTCTCTTTCTCTCTTTCTCTCTCTCTCTCTCACACTCACACACACACACAATCTGTACATGTAATCACACAATGATTATGTGGGATTACATAATTGTGGTTGAGGGGGGAGTTCTCTGCCAACTCTGTCCAAGGGCCCCCTTTGAAAAGACAATTAACACCCCAAACCAAAAGCAGGAAGAGGTTCTGAAATGGTTCATAAGCCTGCGTGCAGTAAGTATCATTACCGTTTGTTACATCATCTTGTTAAGCAGTTGTTTACACACACTGCTGTGCCCACTAGTAGGCAAAAAGACACACACACACACACACACACACACACACACACACACACACACACAGGTCCATCAGTCCGGTCTGGTGATTTGGCATTCAGTGAAATTCCACCCAAATGGAAATCTGGTGACTCTGCACTGGACCAGCGTTTCACCAAAAGCCCAGTCCTTTCAGTGGGTGCCAAAGGGCGAAACTTGTTTTGATAACAGAGAGAGCTTGGATCAGGGATGCTGTTTACTGAGAGCGCAGACTGGATCTCTACAGACATGTTGTCCCACAAACTCAGCTCCATGATTCTGCAGAATAAGCTTGGAAAAAAGATGCTGAAGAGAGGTTTTCTTCACTTAATTTAGTAGGGAAGTCATGAAGTCTAAATAGTTAAAAATCTAAATGGCTCATCTTATGACTCCTTGGCTCAGGGTGAAAACCCACTCAAGCTTGATCAGCAGGTTGCATTCTTGTGTCTCCAATGAATGCAACCTCTCACTGACACCCACCTCGGCCTCCAGTGGAAAATAACACTCTGCCTGTGACTTACCTCATTTACTGTTCCATTGATTGGCAAAAGATGATGCTTGTACATCTATATATAAAAATCGTACTGCCCCAAGCAACAGACACATGCATCATTCTACATTTGACTAACTTATAGGAACTGTAAGGCTGATAATTCTTCACCTACTGAGTACTTTGACTACTGTGTCTTGTGCAGCCTTCATACATAAACCATAAACAGACCTCCTCAGCTCTCTCAGCATGGATGAGCATCTCGCAGAGCTCACAGCGGAAACAGGCCGACACTAACTTAGCAAACAACACTTTGACAGTGTTCGCGGTGACATAACTACTCACCGTCGATGTCTCCCAAGGTGAATTCGTCCCCTAATTCCGCTAGCGTCGGGTCCATGTTCTCCATGGTGGAGATGTACTCTCCGCTGTCCATCCCGTCCGTTCGCACCTCGCCTCCCCGGCTGTCACCGGAGGGTCGCGAGGGGGGAAAAAGAAGACAAGGCCCGCAGGCTATTCTGTGGACACCTTTATCTAACCGTGAGGATTGTTGTTGTCCGGAACAGCCGTGAGACAACGCTAAAGCCTCAGGAGAGGCAGACAACGACGTCGATAAACTAGTTCACCCCGATACACGGTTAAGTCGTCGCCATCTTGCTTTACGCTCGTTACGTCATTCACAAACAGACTCTGTGGCTCAAAGCGGGCTCTGATTGGTCGACGCCGAGCTGTTGTTGTCATGAGACCAGTCATCATCGTCCAATGACAAGGCCGCGTTTGCCGTGGTCTGATAGTACGTCAACCATCAGAAGCTTCTGTGTCATTTGAATAAACCGCGCCCCCTGTCTTCATGACGAGACCTGAGCTCATGAGACAAATAAAGCACCTCGGAAGTAATGATAATAAACACATGAATCAGTAGATAACATTAAATAAATACTGGAGGCACGGTAATTCAAATTATAAGCATTTTACTCGTCTTATGCAATACTCAACATTGTTTCCTTAATTGCAGATTGAATGTTTTGTGTTTAATAAAAATGCTAAAACTTTAAAACATTATTTACAAGTTCACTTACTGTCCATTCAAAGAGTTATTGATTTTCACCACTTTCATGCATACAACAAGTATGCTTCAGGTCAGGTGTTTTAAGTTTTACTTAAAGTGAAAATAAATGTATATTAGCTGTTAAAAAAGGTTTAATACAGATGTAAAAAAAATAATACAAATATAGCTGAATTATTAATGTGTGCACGTAATTCAACCATCAGTTCTAAGGTATAGTGGATTTAAAATAAACATGTTCTCGTGGTCCTTTTCTAATAAAATCAAGTGACACAGCTGACATGAAATGAGTACAAAGCATTCACTGTAAGAAGAATTCTTGTTTATTTCACTGCAACAAAGTCAACACTAAGCTGTTGATACATTTACAGTGCAAGTTGAAATCAGGTTGTTCAAAACTAGTGTTAATACTTAACTGCATATCTCTCATCTGGTAACATATTACAGGATGTGAAACACTGCAAACACAACCACCCACTGTCATCTGCCAGTGCAAACACTTCAGACCCTTTTGTTCATTTACAACCCCCATTACTGTGATGAGTAAGCTTAATTACACAAGCATTGTCTTCATGCTCAGTGGCTCTTCTTCAGAAAGGGCAAAAGATTTTTACAAAGTCAAATTGTAAACCTTCATGAAATCAATATCGTTCATTCCACTGAGCTCACACTGCTGAACTCTGTGACCGACATTTTCAGCGGCCCAGTTTCCACATAATTGTCTCTTTGTTTTTATTATGTGTTTGAAGACATGAGGTCGTGTTGAAAACCAACCAGCTGTGAGATGAATAACAACCGCATAAAAATTGACCAAGTCTTTATTAGTCAGCCCACGCAGCATTGCAAATGTCACTGAACCTATTCACCAGCCTCAAACTGCTCCAACCGAGTTTCTGCAATTACAATTCCTGCTCTCTGTTATCTTTTGCAATTGCATCTTTTCATTTGTTCCAGTAGACCTCATACGACGACTTCTCTGTGAAACTGGCTTCCGTCGTTCCTGTGCCACATCGTATTCTTTTCTTTACCACCTTCACCACCAGGCCACCGGCCAAGGCGATGCCTGCTGCAGCCTTGCCTATCTCAGCCACCGCGGTCAGGATGCGTGTCGATACGGCCACGGTGCCCCAGGGATCTGACGCCACCCTGCTGGCCGCCGATGCCGCACTGGGTCCTGTTAGGCCACACAGGACACCGGGAGACCCAGCAGCCAGCGGGATGTTCGCAGCCATCTCCTGAGCTAAGGCTGCAGCACACTGAGGAGTCCCAGTACCTGCAGCTACACCTCCTACGGCGGCCACTGCCTGCTGCCCCGCTAATGAGGCTAAACTGCTCTGAGCTACGGAGGCATTGGCTACTCCTGCCGATGCAGTTTCAGCACCACTGAGGGCTGCCGTGCTGAAAGCTGCTCCCTCCAGGGCCGCGCTTAAAGCTGCCCCTGCTCCCATGGTGCCTCCCACACCTGCGGCCACCCCCACTGTGGAGGCCCCTATGACACTAACCTGCCCCAGGGCCTCCAGAGCACCCTCCCCAGGACTGGCGGCTTCAGCACCGGCGATGGCTCCAACGGAACCCCCCAAAAGTCCACCCGTCGCTGCCCCCAGAGCCACTGCAGTTTTCCCTGAGGCTGCCGCCACTATGGCCCCCACGGCTTTCCCCACACCTGTGCCTCCTGCTACAGACATCCCGGTGAACTGACTCGCAGCAAAACCCACCGAGTTCCCCATGAGAGACGCCCCGGCCGCAGCTGCCAAAGGGGCAGCCACCCCAAACAATGCCCCCACCGCCATGCCCGTGGCTCCAGCAGCCACCAGGATCTTCACTCTCTCCAGCACCTTAGCAGAGAGCACAGCCTCCCTCCTCATGCGACTTGGGGACGAATCGACAGACCTGCTCGCGGCCCTACGGCTGCCTCTGAACTGGTCCCTGCAACGTTCAGCTCCGTCTCTCAGGAAGCTGAAGGCGCTGCCTCTGCTCTCTTCTGACCACCTCTCCACCCTAAAATCCTCCTCCTTTCTTCTCTCCAACTTCCTCCTCCTGACCCCTTCTGATCCTCCATCGGTGCTCTCCGCTCTGCTACACTCGAAGTCGTACTTTCTTTGTTTCGCAAGTTCTTCCTCCTCTGCTGGCCCTCGCTCCCTCAGCATCCTTCTCTGCTCCTCCCTGATCACCGCCTCTGCTTCTAAAAACATGGTGTTGGTATAAAACCCTTCTCTAGTCTGCTTCGCCATCTTGTCCACCTTCTTTAGGAGTTCTGTAACCTGCGCTGAGTAACTGGGGTTTTTGTTGTTAAGTACATGGTACCTGCCCCCACACCTGTCAATCAAAGCCTTAAGCCCAGCAGGTGCAGTCTCCCCTAGGTAATCCTCGATCCCTATGCCCTCCAGGTCATCCCCTCTGGTGAAAAGAACCACCGTGTGGTGACGGAGTGCATCCTCCCCAAATATCTTGGTCAACTCGCAGACCGCCTGGTTCTCATTGTCTGTATACCGTCCTACCGGCACCACCAGGAGGAAGGCGTGGGGCCCAGGGGCAGAGAGACACACACATTTGGCTAACTCTGCGTGGATCTTCTCCTCGCTCAGGTGAGTGTCCCCAAACCCCGGCATGTCAACCACCGTGACTCTCCTCATCCTCCTCTGTGGGACAGTCTGGCCATCCTCTCCCTCTGCGAGCTCAGCGCTCCCAAGCTGGCAAACCTGGGTGACAGAGCTGGCGCTGATCTGTGACAGGAACTGCCTCCGGCCCAGGATGGTGTTTCCAGACGCACTCTTCCCAGAGCCGGTCTTTCCAATGAGGACCAGCCTGAGTTCTTCAGTCCATCTGGTGTCAGAGGATTCTCCTTCCTTCTCACCCTCCATATCAACTGGTTGCCTCTTCTCTTCCTTGCACCCTGATGGGAAAACAGCACAACAGAAAGTGTCTGTCACTTACTGAGACTATATTTACTTTAGATAGTCTCACTGCAATAACATGAGCTAATGAAGACAACACACGCCTCGTTTCGTGTTAAAAGGACTAGAAGAGTCAGTGTTTGGACGGACGGTTCTGGACAGAAACAAAACGTTTCAACTGAATAGGTTAGCTAACAGCTAGCTAGCGTTAGCGCTACTCACTAGGTGCGTAGTTATGTTTACAAATCAAATATTACCGAATGATAACAAACCGTGAAACCAAAAATCAGAAATCAAATGCAAAGATCAGGTTTAATCCAAAACGCAACGCTGTAGCCTCTGCTATGTATTATCAAGCTAACGCTAGCTAGCTAACTTAAACGAATATCACACGGGCAAAAGCTAATTCCACAATAACAAGCTAGCCTGAGCTAGCTGCTAATTTAGGACGAAAACAGCAACTATGACGAGATAAACGTCCTCTTACCAGAGTCCGCGTTATTAAACACTCCTCAGCTTTACTAACAGAGGTCGTTTCTTCTCTCCATTCGAGCTTTAACTTAGTTTTCCTCTTCGTGTAGCTGCAGTTACATGTTGGGATCAGCTGTTAAACATAACCATTGGACTTTAGTCAGTTTGATGACGGCCCGCCCTCTGTTGGCTGATCTGTACAACTAGCTGTGACGCACGCACGCACGCACGCACGCACGCGCACACGCGCGCGCACACACACACACACACACACACACACACACACACACGTTTTTTTTGTACATATCAGTCATTTTATTTCATTAAATTTGATAACAAAATGGCTTGTTCATTCTGCAGCAATGGTATTCTTTCTCTGAATATACATAGTTTTATAACAGTCTTAATACGATTTCAAAATTACATCAATCTCAATTCCATAAATCTAAACCATTAAAATATGTTAATTTCCAGCAACGATAAACAGAAAAAAACAAAAACAAAAAAGAGCTCATATACTGTAAATCTGGCTGACAGATATTTCCAACAGGATAAAATAATTCTCATTAACTAAAGGTCACTAAAATAAGCCAAATATGAAAAAACTAATTCACTGATGATCCCTTTGATGGTGATCAAATGAACATGATATTCAAAAAGATATGAAAAGAAACAAATTAAAGAACACCGTCCTTCAGGCAAACGAAACATAAAATGTGTCCTCCTTTGAGCAGCAATAACAAATCTGCCAACTTACAAACAATATCCCACACATCTCAGTTGAAGGAACCAAAAACTAAACCGTATTCCATCAATTCAAGCTCAACCGAACCAGGAACAGGCCAACTGGAATGAGGCGAGGACAAATTTAGATTTGGCAAACACACGAAGCATGAGGTTTTAGACACGTTAACTCTAGACCAGACACAGTACAGTGGGGGGTTTTGTAGTTGTTTGTTTTTAAAGATTATACTGAAATGAATTATATTCCATAAATTATCAAAAATGAGCTTCCCTTATCAACTCCTATTCCAGAGCTGCTTTACCTTCTATACAACGTTACATTTTCCAATTATAAATCGCCGCGGATGTACAGCAATTCACACCGTTGCCATAAACTGACACCACTTTACTTTTTATTTGTGTAAACTCGAGGGTTCCTCTTGTTTTCAACAGAGCACCTGGCTTTTTTTAATACAAGTGATGACAGCTTTTATTTCCTTCACTGTCGCCCCCGGAGTCTACAAGTCAAGCCACCTCTTGTGGACTGTGCGTGTGCTCCGTCCTTCCTTCCTCGTCTCCTCCGCTCGGCGGTGCAGCGCTATAGCTCGGTGCGAGAGCGGGAGATGCGAGGGCCTTTCCTTATTTCTTTCCTCTTCTCCTCTTTCCTCCTCCTCTTCTCCTCCTCCCTCAGGATCTTCTGGAACGCCTCGGCGGTATGAAGCACCTGAAGCGGACGAGTCGGGGTTAGAGAGGCTATGTGAGGCTCTGTTTTCTAAAAAGGAGGGGCAGGGTGTGGAAAAACATGCGTCACACTTACGTCGTCTCTCTCTGTGCGGTACGGGTTTATGAAGTCGGGGGATTTCTCCGTTATTCCCAGCTCCTGTGACATCTTGAAGAGATGAGCAGAGTCGACAAATGAGGAAAAGAGGAGGAGAGATTCACGTGATCATGTATTCAAAAGAGATGAGGAATGAAAGTGAGACACCGTGACATTGCTTACTCTGCAGCTCAAACGCAGCTGCAGACTAAAATCGGTATTTCTTCGGAGTACTATATCTTATCTGATCATTTCATCATGTCAGCTTTAGATGCCATGAGCTGCATGGATTTGAGCATTTATGCTCAAATGTGACCAGTGATAGGTTTGCCAGGTGGCCGCTGACCATTTTGTAATTCACAATGAAAATAAATTGAAACACAACGGGAATCTGTTCTACTGTTAATGTAAGTAAGGAGCATAAAAAAATCATTAAAATAGACTAAAAGAGCTTGTTTATAAAATGAATAGAGCTATACGTACATGTTTTGGTGATGGGAGGAAACCGGAGCACCATATACATTTTATCTGATGAATATTATTAATGTTTGCTCATTAACTGGCCCCATGGCGAGGTGAGTACCCGTGGAGTCGGGGATCAGAAGCGAACTAAACTAATAGCGGGGTTACTGAGGCGCGCTTTCACTGCTGCCGCTGCTTCCAGCCTCAGAATTAATCCACAATATAATCCTCTTGGCCCATGGCTAAAGTCACACATTAATCCTGCCAGAGTTTAGTTCATTAACCCGCGCGGAGATATGCCATTTCATCTCCTTTGCTCTCCATCGGGGACAAATTTGACGACCAATGACACATTTAGTGGCGATAGTCGACACAGAGGATGCGCTGTGCACCCACATGACTGCAGATTACACTGCAAGCTCCACATCCAACCCACCCTGTGCTATATTGCGTTGAACTGTTTTCCATGTTCTCACTGGCTCGTTTCATCATGCCCTTATATGGCGTTCTGCATCTAGACTTCACAACAAGGAAGCGTTATCAGCATTTTGCTCAGGACTCAAATTGTAAAACTAAACTAAACTGAATCAGCCTCCATATTGGGACTTATTTTAGCTCCTTTAATGTGGGTCGGAGTTTGCATTTTTTAGCAGCGTTGTCTAAACAGCACTCTCTGTTTAGCTCTGCAGAACGGTGATCTCACAGATGTTCTCAGCCAGTCAGAAACAACAAGAGCAGGGTCGGCGATGTAGTCTTACGAGGGTGAGGACGTGTTGGTGGGCTCCTCCTGTGAAAACCCCCGTCTGGTTACAGAAATTCAGGCCCCAGCGCAGCAGCCCGTCCCAGTCGGTGTTCCGGTCGAAGTAGTGGTGGACGATACGGGGGAAACGCAGCGCCACGTCGCCAAAGAACGCTGTGTTCTCCACCACGTGGGAATAAGCTGCAGATGTGAGGAAGAGGAGAGAAACAGGTCAATTAAAAGAAATAAGACAGGGGGAGGAACAGTTTTGATGCAATGTATGTGTGTGTGCTGCCAAAACACTCAGAGCATGCTGCTAAATAGAACAAAAAGGGAAGAGAGCAGCTCAAGCGATGGCTGATCTAGTTCAGGGAACACACTCAAATAGGTAGTGTCGGTGAATAAGCAGGAGAAAGAGGGGGAGATGTTACAGATGATATTATTGGCACCAAAGGGGGAGAAGGATGAAAGAAAGGCGGAGTGACACGAGAAACGGGTTGACAAACCAGTCAGAGGTGTTGGAGACAGAAACGGTGAGGCTGCTAAATAAAAGTGTCTTATGTAAGTAGAGCGAGAGCAAAAGACATTGGGAGAATAAATGAACCAGCTGAGGTTTGAAAGTGAATCAGACCGTCTTTGATCTTATCGTCCATTGGGAACGGGTCATCGGGCTGCATGTTGGACGTAACCAGGATTTGTCTTGAGTCCTCCAACACCTTAGAAATAAAAAAAAAAAAACACAAAAAACAGTTTAATAGCCAGGTTTAGTTACTTTACACTATGAGCCGGGGATTTAAATTGCTGTTGTAAATCAGGCAGAAAAGTAGTTACGAACTAAGAGAAAAGTGTATTCCCATCATATTTTACACAGCACCTTTACTGCTGAGATCAGGAGTTAAAACACAAACTGTGCACAAACAGCAATCTGAGAATTAGTCAGCATCTACTTAGATAGTATATGGAAGGAAGACACACACATACACACACACACACACACGCACACACTTGGAGCCACTGAAGGTCGACTACGCTAGTTGTCCTTGAGAGGCGCGCAGATAGCCGTCCTCTGGGAGAATGAGGCGCGTTGTAAAGCAGAGCTCCGAGAGGCCAAATTAACATTCAAATGAATGCGAGGAAAACATGCTGATGAATGTGATGTGGAGCTTTTGATTCTCTGTCGCGCTGCGAACCTCCTCGTCCTTCAACCTGCCGAGAGCACAAGACGCCCGGGCTCTTTGAAGTAACTGTTGCTTTTTCGATTTTGTTTTTACTCGTGGCCTTGTCTGCGCTTGGTTTCGCTGCTGCCCACAGACTACGTGAGAGCGCGCACACACACCCCCCCCCCCCCCCCTACCTTGAAGAGTCCTTTAAGCATGATGTCTATGATCTTGTACTGCTGGTTGATGTCGTTCAGCTCCACCAGGTTCTTCAACGCGCTCAGTTGATCTTTCCTCTTGGTCTCAAACAGCCGCTTGTCTGATAAGAGGAGCTCAGGAGGACAAACACTCTCCACATGGGGCGTAACTCACATACAGTGGGTACGGAAAGTATTCAGACCCCTTTAAATTTTTCACTCTTTGTTTCATTGCAGCCATTTGCTAAAATCAAAAAAGTTAATTTTATTTCTCATTAATGTACACTCAGCACCCCATCTTGACAGAAAGAAACAAATGTAGAATTTTTTGGCAAATTTATTAAAAAAGAAAAACTGAAATATCACATGGTCATAAGTATTCAGACCCTTTGCTCAGTATTGAAGCACCCTTTTGAGCTAGTACAGCCATGAGTCGTCTTGGGAATGATGCAACAAGTTTTTCACACCTGGATTTGGGGATCCTCTGCCATTCTTCCTTGCAGATCCTCTCCAGTTCTGTCAGGTTGGATGGTGAACATTGGTGGACAGCCATTTTCAGGTCTCTCCAGAGATGCTCAATTGGGTTTAGGTCAGGGCTCTGGCTGGGCCAGTCAAGAATGGTCACAGAGTTGTTCCGAAGCCACTTCTTTTTTTATTTTAGCTGTGTGCTTAGGGTCATTGTCTTGTTGGAAGGTGAACCTTCGGCCCAGTCTGAGGTCCAGAGCACTCTGGAAGAGGTTTTCTTCCAGGATATCTCTGTACTTGGCCGCATTCATCTTTCCTTCAATTGCAACCAGTCGTCCTGTCCCTGCAGCTAAAAACACCCCCATAGCATGATGCTGCCACCACCATGTTTCACTGTTGGGATTGTATTGGGCAGGTGATGAGCAGTGCCTGGTTTTCTCCACACATACCGCTTAGAATTAATGCCAAAAAGTTCAATCTTGGTCTCATCAGACCAGAAAATCTTATTTCTCATAGTCTGGGAGTCCTTAATGTGTTTTTTGGCAAACTCTATGCGGGCTTTCATATGTCTTGCACTGAGGAGAGGCTTCCGTCAGGCCACTCTGCCATAAAGCCCCGACTGGTGGAGGGCTGCAGTGATAGTTGACTTTGTGGAACTTTCTCCCATCTCCCTACTGCATCTCTGGAGCTCAGCCACAGTGATCTTTGGGTTCTTCTTTACCTCTCTCACCAAGGCTCTTCTTCCACGATTGCTCAGTTTGGCTGGACGGCCAGGTCTAGGAAGAGTTCTGGTCGTCCCAAACTTCTTCCATTTAAGGATTATGGAGGCCACTGTGCTCTTAGGAACCTTGAGTGCTGCAGAAATTCTTTTGTAACCTTGGCCAGATCTGTGCCTTGCCACAATTCTGTCTCTGAGCTCCTTGGGCAGTTCCTTCGACATCATGATTCTCATTTGCTCTGACATGCACTGTGAGCTGTAAGGTCTTATATAGACAGGTGTGTGCCTTTCCTAATCAAGTCCAGTTTAATTAAACACAGCTGGACTCCAATGAAGGAGTAGAACCATCTCAAGGAGGATCAGAAGAAATGGACAGCATGTGAGTTAAATATGAGTGTCACAGCAAAGGGTCTGAATACTTATGACCATGTGATATTTCAGTTTTTCTTTTTTAATAAATTTGCAAAAATTTCTACATTTGTTTTTTTCTGTGAAGATGGGGTGCTGAGTGTACATTAATGAGAAATAAAATGAACTTTTTTGATTTTAGCAAATGGCTGCAATGAAACAAAGAGTGAAAAATTTAAAGGGGTCTGAATACTTTCCGTACCCACTGTATATGCTCATGCATGCTCTGTCACATTAAACACACACACGCAGGATACAGATGTCCAGGTTAGAGTCGTGTCTCATTCTGTGCGTGTCCGGGTCCGCCGAGCCGAGGGCGGCAGCGAGCGCCAGGACCAGTGCACACACACTCCGCATGGTCGGCAGAGAGGCTCTCTCTCCTGAAGAAGAAAAAAAGAAAATGAAGAAGACAAGCCATGAGATGCACATCACGTTGTTGAACATCTCAACACTGAGCACACACACTAAGAGATTGTGATCTCAATTCATTCATCTGTAGAACTCAAGAAGAGAATTCTTTGACTGAACACGTTGTCTTTTGATACAGAGACTTCACTTTCATCTGAAAATAGTTCTCTTATTCACAAAGCCGCTTTTTTTTCCTTATTTTCCGAAGCTGCTAGAACGGCTCTGTCTCTCTTGTGATGCTTGTGGAATATACGAGAGATAGATAGGGAGACATGCTGGGGATAAGTGGTCAATGTGGAACACGAGAGGAGAGCCGGCATGTGAAGAGGAGCTCCTTATGCTGCTTAAAAAAAAAAAAAGAAGACACATCTGATGTCTGGCACTAGCATAATCCCTGAGAGGAACATTTACAATCTCTGTATCACACACTCTCTCTCTGCTCCCCCCCCCCCACCCCACCCCCACCCCACAGTCTCTGTATCCAAAGCCGTGATCGTACACACCATTTGTCATCCAGTTGCAACTTCCTTTCCCTCAGAGGCTTTTTTGTTTTTACACATTTGAGAGGTCGGGGAGAAGATAAATACAACAGCTAAAAATAGCGGCTCATCAAATGAAAATTTGATGAAGGCCATATTTTTAAGAAAACATTAGAAGGAAAAACAGAAGGAACCGGAGGGGGGGGGCGCAATGTTGATGAAAAGCTACAAGATATAATTCTTCGCTCGTAGCTCTGCTCAGACACGGCGGTAAAACCTAAAGACTCAGAGATAGCAGAGACAGTGCGAGATAGATGGAGCCTGTGCAGGAGGATAATGAGCGCCCGGGACTTGATTTCGCACCGACAGAATTAATCTTTACAAGCGGCGCGGCTGCCGACTCTCGAGCCTGAAGGACTAGTAGGATGCTTGCTCGGGTGTGAATGTTAATTGAGAGTGAATCTCACTTAAATCAGGAGGAGGAAAAGCATATGCTCCTGGACACACACACACACACACACACACACACACACACACACACACACACA